AAGCTTTTGCGGCTGGATCTGTTGTTCATTTGTGTCTAAGGTTAAATTATTGCGATTTGCCATATTTTGCTTATCATAATCCTGTACACTGTTTGTCGTCAGTTGAATGGAGTTCATATTTTTACTTATTGTATCATAAAAAGCTTCGTTTCTACTGCTCTTTTCATCGAGATTGTTGATATCATTATCAGCTTGATTCGAGATTGTTGGCGATGCTGAGGAAGTAGAGATATTATCTGTTGTTGTTATTGTCTCAGAAATATCCATCATTTGGTAATCTGGACTCTCCACTTTATTTTCCATGATAAACTATAAAAAATTTCTTTTTGTTTTCACTTTTCTTATCCTCTTGGGGATATCTACATAATTGGGCACAATTTTTTCGAACATTTGAGTTCAAACGAAGAGATTTTGTTTGTACAAAACTTTGAGAAAATCTTTGAATTTAATTTTCGTATTGACCGCTAGGGTTATCAAGTGATAAAAGCGTTTTAGTTTAGTATTCGATCCTAACTTGTTGTATTCATTTTCTTTCAAAACAATCGGAAAAAATGATGAAGTGGATAGTTGTAATATTAGTGCATTCCCTTTTAACTCCTAATTTAATTAATGTACGAGGTAACACGGGGATGGTACATCGGCGCTTTGAATATAAATATTCATTCAAACCACCATACTTAGCGCAGAAAGACAACACAATTCCGTTCTGGGAATACGGTGGAAGTAAGTTATGAATATTATTGTCAGATTAAAAATTATTAGATGTCCATTAAGAAGAAATTGAAGTAATTTTATCAGTGTATATGGAAATAATTCCTAATACTTTCAACTAAATCAATCTCATTGAAAAGTTTGAATTTCCTGATAGTCTCAGAGTTCTCTTAAAATACTCCACGTCATAATATTTTTTTTCTTAATGTTCATGTATGTTAAGACACTTGTCTTACATGTTAGTTGTTATCACTATGTTGTTTCTAGATGATATTGAATATTTTGAGGAAGTGGAATNATTTGTTAATTTAAGGCTTAACATGTCAATTTCTCATTAGTTTTTTCTTTTTTAATGTCAAGTGTTTCTTCTTTTTTAATTTTTATTCCAGGGATTTCCTCCAAATAAATTTTTTCAACGTCTTTGATATAATCACAAGCTTTGGTCCAAACTTGATCTGGCAAGCGATCCACTGCTTTTATCACTTTGTCTTTAGTGTCATCATCATCTTGAATGTCAAATCTTCTTCCAATCTCGTTGAGAAGAAACACAGAAACGAATTCTGTCGCATCAAGTTCATAATGTGAAACTGGCAGGAAGAGAATTTTGACTTCATCACCTCGGAGCATCTGTGTAATAAATTCAAGAGGACTTTTATATCTTCTCATAACTTTCTTAACTGGATTTACTTGGGAGAATTTTTTTGAAGAAAAGAAATTGTGGATAGTCGTTTGGCCCTTCGCCTATTAAAAAAAGAATTAAGAAATATTTTATTAATACATATTTTAGATTATTCTAATCACGTTCTTACATTTGCAGCCATGAGCCTTTTTCTCTCCTTTGTTTTTCCTTCTGGTATTTCAGAGTTTTTAATAATTCTTTTATGCTCATTGTTTAAAATTATTAGTGATCGATCTGGAATCATGTTCTTGTTTTGTAGCATTTTCTTAAATGCATTTAAAAATATTTCATGCTTCTGTTTCAATGATGCACCAAATTCATCTTTGCCAATGTAAACTAACTGCTCTCTACTAAATCCTTCACTTGTTGCAGCATGAATCATTTTCATACTTTCATCGTTCTCTGTCAGTTTATTGTTTCTATAACTGCACATTAGAAAGTCGCCGATTTTCTTCGGAGGATGTGCCTCAATGTTGTCAAGATGCATTTCAAAAGTTGTAAGTTTCTTGGAGTAAAGTTCTTTGTTTTTGAGGACGAAGGATTTATCAAAAATCCAAATAACATTATATCCTTGAGAAGACAGGAAATGTTTCTTAAATTATGCAATATTTTGAAAATTTGAGTCTTTCTTACCGTCATTTTCATAATTCCGCTTTGCTTCTAGATATTCATTAAGCTCCATTGCAATAATTGTTCTTTTTATTGTAAATATTTTACAAAAATCTTTGCTAAGTCAAATATTTACTCGCCATACTTTTGGCGGCTAACTTAACACTATTAACAATTTCATTCATTTTGTTTATTAACTACAGCTTTAAATGTGTTGTGCAATATTACATGTAAGAAGAAGTTTGTCGATGTATTTTGCCTGTTGCCTGGTGCAACTCCTATGAAAATCTGGAATGATCTTATCTTTTGCAGAAATATTTTTAACTTATTGTGAGGTAAAAAAAATAATAATAAAGTACACTAACACCATCAAAATAAATCCAAACGAATCGTTAAAAAATTTTAAATGTTCATGTTTTAAATTAATGTGAAACTAGTTTTTAATTACCTACAACACAAATTTAGTTGCAGTTCATTTTTAAAATAAATTGAATAAAAACAACCAAAATTTTCTTCCAAATCAATTTTCTTTATTATCTGATTTTTTTACTTTCGATTCACAGCAAATTTTAACAATAAAGGAAAGGAATTGTAAATTAGATATCTACATAAATTTTTGATAATAACAAATATGACAGCAAATATCATAAATATAACATAAAGTGAGATCAAAAGTTTGAGATTAAAGGATTCTGGCAAAAAGATATGCTGCATCAGCTAATCGAATTCTAACTTAACATTAATTGAAATAAACGTATATAAATATGTATGCTTCTATGATTGTTTTCATTCCTTTGATTCAACATGATATGGAGAAATCGTTTTAAAATGCAATTATTTTATGATTCTGTAAATATTTTCATAATTCTTTCAACTTTCTCTTCCTTCGTCAGGTATACGCGTTTCCTTCCATAAATATCCATAAATTAATGATTGTTAAAAGTGGATATATTGAATGTTGTTTATAGATGAAAGAAAATAATTTTCTCTAGGTAGGTATATGCATAAATTATTGGGCAAAATTTGTGAATACTTCTAGGTATTTGTTCTTCGTTGTTTGTTTTCTTAGATTTGTTGTAAGATTTTAATACTTTTAATTTCAATAATTTATATGATTTTTCTTCGAAAAAGGTGTGCATAAATTGCCATTAGTTTACTTTATTTCGTCGAAACGAAAATGTGCCCATGAAATATTTTCGTCTAATATTTTTCTTTTCTAATTTCTACTACAAAATATTGTCTAAGATTTCATCAAAAAAATTTACGTTATCAGTGATTCTTTATAACATTTTTCTATACATTCTTGCGGCATTTGTATCGGTGAGATCATGACAAGAGAGGAAGATCTAAACAGAAATCATAAAGAGATTTTTGATTCATTATAACAATTAACTAAACAATATGAGAGAAACTTTAAAACTCATTCAGCCATGAGTTGAGTTTTAAAGTTATTTAAAAGTTTTCAAAATGACAAAACTACTAACATTTAAATCAACGCGATTCATTTCTAAGAATGTGAAGATGAATTAGGACGAATCTTCAACGCATTGAAACTCAAAACTTTATCGGGAATGGAATTTCTTTCGACTGGAACGAGTGTGTAAAGCTCTTCAAGTGAAGGAACGTAAACCATTTTCCTCCAAAACTTTGCGCTGATGAACGGTCGTGTCATCCAAATCAATGACTTCAACCAAAATGTTGGATGAACAATGTAACAATTCTTCAATGATTTTCTAAGGCGACGATCAAGCAGTTGATAGCATTTCTTAAGCCAAGGAAAAGGCGGAGAATTTTTACGATTTGAGGCGCCATGAAGATAAACAAGAACGTAGTCTTCCGTCACTAGCTGCTCAAGTGTTTTAACAACGTAATAAAACAAATTGTTCATCACATAATTATAATCGGCTCGAGATCTATCAGGTAGATGACAAGCACTAAAGACAACGATGGCGTTATGTCCGCCTGCTTTTAAATATCCACCATGTGATAAAATCCGTTTGTAAGGCTCAATGACCTGTCAAAGTCAATGTTTATCAATTAAGAAACATTCATCAATTATTTTTACTCACTTTCATATCAATTTCCCTTGTTTTCCCATCAGGCAACGTGATAAGCTGAAAATTCCTTACATTTCTATTCTCTTCTGCTGCTGAATATTCCGGTATGCATTCATTTAAATTGATTGTTAAAAATTGTTTACCATCAGAATTTGTACTTTTACGCAAATTACCATTAATTGCTGTAGTTTTATTGTCACAGGAAGAAAGATTTTGAATTTTTAAAGGTTCATTGTCGGCATAGTCTTCATCATCATCGTCGGCAAAATTGTCAGCACGAAAACTCAGTTCTTCCGGCGATGAATCATCATTAACTCTTAAGTCATCAGATAATGGAATCTTTCTTCGATTATGTTCTAGATTCAGGAACTTAGGTGATGAAGAGGATTGTTGAAGACGTGACGATAGTTGAGTGGAATTTGTGCTCACAAGAGCAACGGTTTGAAAGGATGCACAAACTTCTGCCTGATATTGTGACAGATCCGGTTCGGAATCACTTAAGAAGTCGTTGAGATCCTTTAAAATTAAGAAACATTTGTCATTTATTTTAAAGAGTTATTTTGAGAATCTGAAACAATTAAAATTATTTGAGTATTGAAAGAAATTTTATTTTAATGATTTTCATCAGTTTAAATGCATCGCATCGTGAAGAAATCTACAAATTAATAATACAAGAAAAAGTGACTGTGTCGTTAATAAATTTGTTTGAGAATATTCAAGAGATTTTCTATATTCGAAGTTTTACGTCATCCATTAGCTGCTGCCAAACTCAGCCATCCACTTCTCATATCTTGCAAGATCTGATTTACTGACACTTTTGTTGCATTTACCGATGGCTTCAAGAAAGTCTTGTCTGCTAACTGGAAGATCAATTTCATCTTTCGCCAAAAGTTTTATTTGTTCTGGTTTCAAGCCGACAATTTTCTTTCTTAATGACATCATTGCAGCATCACGACAAACATTTGTTATGTCAGCTCCCGAGTAGCCTTTCAATTGATTAGCAATCACTTCAAGATCAACAGTCGGATCAACTTTAACTTCTCGTAAGTTTATTTTGAGAAGAGCAACGCGACCTTCGTTGTTAGGAAGTGGAATATAAATTCGCTTCTCCAATCGACGTCTCAAGGCTTCGTCAATCTCCCAAGGGAAGTTTGTCGCAGCAAGAACCATCACAACTTTATCTTCCGTGTTCACACCATCCATTTGAACAAGCAACTCCGACTTTACACGACGACTTGCTTCATGTTCTGTCGCTCCGCCACGGGCTGAACAAAGAGAATCAATCTCATCGATGAAGATTGTTGATGGAGCGTAAAATCGTGCCTAAAAATTTATTTTAAATTGAAATCAAACGATGAACAATTTCAGACATTTAACTCACCATTTCAAACAATAATCTTACGAGCTTCTCACTGTCGCCGCGATATTTCGAAGTTAAAGTACTTGACGAAACATTAAAGAAAGTTGTTCCACATTCAGTTGCAACTGCTTTCGCTAACATTGTCTTTCCTGTACCAGGTGGGCCAACCATCAAGACACCTTTCCATGGTCGACGAATTCCTTTGAAGTAATCCGGCATCCACATGGGAAGTACGACCGCTTCTTCAAGTAATCGTTTCGCTTCATGCAAGTCAGCGATATCGTCCCAATGAATGTTTGGATTCTTTTGAAGGATATCACGTTCAAGCATATCAACAAGATCAACGTCGCCATGACTTGATGGCTCGAATTTCTTTTCTGATTCTTCTTGACCTTCGTCATCATTTTCGGTTTCATCTTTTTTGTCATTTTTGTCACCATCTTTGTTAGTTGATGCTGATGAAATTGTTTTTCTTGTTCCTGGTTTGGCGTTACCAACTCTTCCTTTTACATCACTAGGCATTCCAGATGATCGTCCTCTGCTGCTGCCTGGTTTTCCTGCAGGTTTTTTAGGATCATTTTTAGAGTTAGGCTTTGAAGGTTTTTGAAATCTCGAAGGTCCCGGAGGTGGTGACCAACGATCAGGATCGTGATATGCTTTTTGTTCAACAACTTTCGGTGTTCCGAACCAGAAATCTTTCGTGGGCGAATCATGGCTCATTGCATTTTGATTTAAATGGCTGCTATACGGGGGTGGTTGATGATAATTTTGAGCTTTTTGTATTGGCATACTTTGAAGGTCCATTGTTATTCCTGATAATGTTTTCTGAAGCTCTTTCAACTTTGTATATTCTTTAACAAGCTGCTGCTGTATCAATGCATATTTCCCACGGCGAGTTGCGTCAGAACATCCCAACAACAACTTTTGAATGTTTTCAAGAACAGTTTCGTAATAAATCCCTGATGAGTCATAATTACCACTCATTGCCATTTCTCTTGCAAGTTTAGCATTGTTACTGAGTTCAGCCAATGTCATTATGAGTGCAATTGGAAGTTATGCGATAATTTAAAATGCTTGTTTTTATTTTTTTTACTTTAGTGACCAGATTTATTTTCACTTGAATTTAATGAGGAAGATTGGACGAGTTAAGTTTTTCTATTATCACCTTATGTTTTAAGAGCACTTTAATTATACTTATCAAATGTTTCTATGATTAATGTCTTAGAATTGCGCGAGTTATTGAACAAAACAAAAATTTTTGCAAATGTTTCAAAGTGTTGACTCGAATAAAGCGCACGAATTGATTTGTAAAATTTATGAAAAAACTTCCAATGCGAAGTATTCGAATAACTGACAAGGATTGTTCGTATCCTTGAATTGTTCATGATTTCAAAAGTTATTTACATTGAAATCTCGAAATTTATCAGAGATTATAGGATGAAAATTGAATACTCACAGGGCTTGGCTCCCGATACATGGGTTTTCTGCTTTTTACTCCATTATTATTTACAGAATTAACGAGATCAGATGTTGCAATGGATTTTGAAGCTGATTGCGCCAAGTGATGAGATTGCTGATGATGAGATAAAATAACATCGGGGAAGTTGCTTACATCGTTTGTTGCATTAACTATGCATGCATCATCAGATGCATTCTCGTCTTCGAACATCAGTGGATGGTTGCGTACAGGAGTAAGCTTTTGCGGCTGGATCTGTTGTTCATTTGTGTCTAAGGTTAAATTATTGCGATTTGCCATATTTTGCTTATCATAATCCTGTACACTGTTTGTCGTCAGTTGAATGGAGTTCATATTTTTACTTATTGTATCATAAAAAGCTTCGTTTCTACTGCTCTTTTCATCGAGATTGTTGATATCATTATCAGCTTGATTCGAGATTGTTGGCGATGCTGAGGAAGTAGAGATATTATCTGTTGTTGTTATTGTCTCAGAAATATCCATCATTTGGTAATCTGGACTCTCCACTTTATTTTCCATGATAAACTATAAAAAATTTCTTTTTGTTTTCACTTTTCTTATCCTCTTGGGGATATCTACATAATTGGGCACAATTTTTTCGAACATTTGAGTTCAAACGAAGAGATTTTGTTTGTACAAAACTGAGAAAATCTTTGAATTTAATTTTCGTATTGACCGCTAGGGGTTATCAAGTGATAAAAGCGTTTTAGTTTGGTATTCGATCCTAACTTGTTGTATTCATTTTCATTCAAAACAATCGGAAAAAATGATGAAGTGGATAGTTGTAATATTAGTGCATTCCCTTTTAACTCCTAATTTAATTAATGTACGAGGTAACACGGGGATGGTACATCGGCGCTTTGAATATAAATATTCATTCAAACCACCATACTTAGCGCAGAAAGACAACACAATTCCGTTCTGGGAATACGGTGGAAGTAAGTTATGAATATTATTGTCAGATTAAAAATTATTAGATGTCCATTAAGAAGAAATTGAAGTAATTTTATCAGTGTATATGGAAATAATTCCTAATACTTTCAACTAAATCAATCTCATTGAAAAGTTTGAATTTCCTGATAGTCTCAGAGTTCTCTTAAAATACTCCACGTCATAATATTTTTTTTCTTAATGTTCATGTATGTTAAGACACTTGTCTTACATGTTAGTTGTTATCACTATGTTGTTTCTAGATGATATTGAATATTTTGAGGAAGTGGAATTGTCTTTATTGAATAACTCGTGGCATAAAATTATTAAATTTCTTTTTTGATTGACACGACAATTGGTCCACTTTTTTTTTATTTATGATCCTCTGATAATTTTATGCAAATATTTGTAGATGCCATCGCATCATCTGAAAGTGTACGTGTTGCTCCATCATTAAGATCACAAAAAGGTGCTGTGTGGACAAAAACGAAAACAGCCTTTGAATGGTGGGAAATTGACATTTCTTTTCGTGTTTCGGGTCGAGGACGAATTGGAGCAGACGGTCTTGCAATCTGGTTCACAACAGAGAGAGGAGATTACAACGGTGAAGTGTTTGGATCGTCAGATAAGTGGACTGGTCTTGGAATATTCTTCGATTCCTTTGATAACGATAACAAACACAACAATCCCTACATCATGGCAGTGATAAACGATGGAACGCGTCACTTTGATCATCAAAATGATGGTGGCAGTCAAGCATTAGCTGGATGTCTTAGAGATTTCCGTAACAAACCTTTCCCAACACGAGCTCGAATCGAGTATTATCAAAATGTGTTGACGGTCTTGTTCCATAGCGGAATGACGAACAACGAGCAAGATTATGAAATGTGTTTGCGTGCTGAAAACGTAGTTTTACCAAAAGCTGGTTACTATGGTATTTCAGCTGCTACAGGTGGTTTAGCTGATGATCACGACGTTTTCCATTTCTTAACAACTTCCCTCCATCCACCTGGTCAACTCGACCAAATTGGACAAGTGCCACAAGCTGACAACGACAAATTGTCACAAGAATACAAAGAATACCAAAAGAAACTCGAAGACGAAAAAGAAAAGTACAAGAAAGAACATCCAGATGAACAAAAAGATGAATTTGATGACTGGTTCGAGTCAGATAATCAACGAGAATTGCGTCAAATTTGGCAAGCACAATCAACAACGACTGAAGTGCTTCGTGATCTTTCTAAAAAATTAGATGAAGTCATTGGAAGACAAGAGAGAACTTTGGGACTCTTGTCAGCTTCAGGAGGTGCAATTCAACAAGGTGGATCACCACCACCGCCTGGTCAACATCAACAACAGTACACCGGTGATGCAATAAGACGACATGAAGTCGACGCGTTATTAAACACAAACAACATTTTAACGCAATCAATGCGAGATTTAAAGACGCAACTCAATGATCTCAATCAAAGAACGGAGCTTCTCATTGGTAATCAGAAAGCTGGTGGATCAGTTGGTGGTGGATATGATATGCAAGGACTTGTTGCAGAGATGCGTGATGGACTTAACACAGTGAAGCAAGGAGTCCTAGGAGTTCAAGCAAGAGTCAATCAACCGCAAGGTCTAAACAGTTGTCCAACAACAAAATGCGTTGGTCTAACACCATTCCTTGTAGCTCTTGCTGTGCAACTTGTCATCATTCTCGGATATAACATCTACAAAGATGCCAAAGGAAATCAATCGAAGAAATTTTATTAAATTTTTCTTTCCTACATTTTCGTTTCCGTTTTTAAGAAAATAATTATGAAAAGGCTCTACAAACCTTCTGAATGGCTGCACACATAATCGATCAAATATTTCAAATCAATTAAGTCGTAAGCGTTTTTTTTATTAAAGAAATTCAGATTTAAAATTGCGACTTTGAAGTGATGAAACGAACAAAAAGAGAACGCGCAAAGTTTCACTCAGTTTAAATATTTTTTCTTTCCTTTTTCGATGGTTAAATGCTTCTCTTTACTTAATTATTGATAATTATTTTTATTGATGTTCATTTTGTTGTGTACATAAATATGTAGAATGAAGAAGTTTCTTCAAAAAAATGTTATTCTCGTACTTTTCTTTTATTTCCAATTTTCTGAAATTGAAAAACCATTTTTTAGATATTTTTGCTAGAAAATTTCGAAATCTAATTTTTCATCGGTTGTTAATAGTTTGATAATTGAATCAACACAGGAAGTCACAAGAATTATTTAAAATATCAACAAATAAACATTTTTTCTTTCTGTTTCAACAAATGATTCTGATTGGAACAAATTAAGTTTTTTTAGAAGGAAATTAGAAAATAAAATAAAAAATGTGTTTTTATTGAGATAATAACGAAATCTGTGTTGATGGTTCATGGCGACAAATAACAATTCATTTTCCCGGGAAAGTTTTCAGCTGCTTTCGACTCCATGATGTCTACAAAATTCGAATCAATTCGAAGCTTCTTTTTGATATGCGCGTAGGAAGAATGATTCTCATTGGTCTTTTCAGCTTTATAAACTTTACATGGGGTCGCGTAGAGGTTCAAATTTCCCCATGTTCCCAGATACCATTACTTGATGTCATCATCCAATGTTGGCTTCGAATATCAACTTTCGATTAGATATTCACTTCTGCAACAGAGTGTTTTTTGCCTTTTCAGAATCCATTTGTTGGATATTTGAATTTGTTCCAACTTCAGATAAAGTGAAAGTAGTTTGTAAGACTTTTTTATCAATGAAGTGTCATCATGAAGGTGACTAAAGTTGCATATTTATTTGCGTTCTCCATAAGTTTCTCATGTAAGTATCAACAATCGAAAGTACAAACTTTATGAATATTTTTTTTTCTATCTAGTTGCATTGCAAGAAGATTGTGTTGACTTTTTTGGGATGATCGTTCCACATGGAAACTTGTACGTTCCTGGTAATTCTTTTCAATTCCATTCGATAAATCATAAACGATAAATTTTGATATTTTTCACAGGCCCCAGCGTTTGTACAAGCTGCGTTTGTTATCACAGTCAACCACTTTGGTGTCGATCAATTTATTGCGATCCACCTTATGTCAGTTGATTAAACTTTTAGTCATTTATTAATGAATTTATGTGAAATTGTTTTTATAGTTTTGCAAGAAATTTCGTGTCGGAGAAAGATGCTGCGAATTCGACTGTCTTGATGATCCTGAAGATATCATAAAAGAGAAGGTAAAAGAATTCTTAATTATCATTTCAATTATCAGAAATAATAAAAATTGTTCAATTCAGGAACGACTGAGAAAACGAAAAAGATTTTTAGGAATAGTTTACGGAGGCAGCAGCGATCATTTACACTCAGAAAAGTCAATTATCATGCTATGTATCTGCATTCTGTCAATTATATTCATTTAAGCTTAATATTAATTAATTGTTACCTTACTAGATGGACTAGAAATGAAATTAATTGAGAAGCAATAAAAGAAATTCAATGGCGATTTAAATTTGAAGTTTGTTACTTTCTTGTAATTTTCTTTGCAGAATCTTTAAAAGTATTCAAATTATCAGAAATTGACTTTCATCGTCATAGCATTTTAAGATTCAAATTTAATTGTTTTAAAAGAAGAATAGAAGCATTTCTTTGTTGAACACATAAAAGACCACTCACGACGCCATTTTAACAGAAGCCACCTCCAACTCTAGCCAAAAATATTTTGTTTTCTTTTTATTATGCGCGGTAGAGAGCTTATTCGTTGTATCATTTCTAAATGCTGATGAGAGGGTTGTAACCAACAGTAGAAGCGTCCCGTTTTCTCGAACACCAGTGGGTGGTTAACAATGTTTTTTCTCTTCCATTCTCTCGATGATGCCAAAAAGAAGATAACTTAACGTTTTTCACAACATGAAACATTTGAAATAACAATAAGAAGACAATTATTGTCGCAATGAGGGGAAAAGAAAGAACCATCTCGATGGCGCCATCGTTGCGCTAGATATAAAAAAAGATTTCCCAGTCGAAACGAATAATAAATGGCTGCGTGGAGAAAAAATCTGTCCAAGTTTTGTGGATGGCGAGTGGTAAAATGGGAGAGAGAAAGAGAAAAGGGGGGGACAGAAACAAATGCTGACGAAAGTTTTTCCGACACAATGGCGCCAATAAGTCGTAGAAATACCAGGAATGAAAGCAAATAAGCTACATCAGGGATTAAGTAGATATCTAAATAGTCTTTGCTACAAAATTACCAAAACAAGTTAATTTAAGGATAATGATTTGAATACTAAATACTGCGGTTAATTTTCTTGCTGTTGTTTTACGATTGACATGTTTGTGGATAATTTTTTGAGTTATTTTTATCATTTGAGGCCCTGGAAAAATATAAATTTTTGCCCAGGGAAAGATTTTTACATATCTGCAAACTCATGCGATGTGAAAAGCCAGCAACTCATGTTCAACATAAATTTTAAAACATGAACAATATTTTATTTTTCATCTTACAAACTTTTCCTTAAAAACTTTTTTATGATTTAATTATGGTTGCATCATAAAATCTGCCTTCACAACACACTCAAAGATTTATCTGCAAACAACTTTTGATATCATTGGGATGAGTTGAAAAATAAGAATTTGAATAAATTTTAACGATCGACGATAAAAATGACTGAGGATATAAAACTCGAATAAACTAATTGTGGTCTGGGGAGAAATTTCATCATTTGATTGCACAACTCGTAAAAGTCGCGATGGTTCTGAAACGGGAATCTTGTAATTACGAGGGATGAAATGACATCAACTGCTTTTTATGGGAATTTATGCAAATGAATATTTGAATTGAAATTAATAAACCACAAAAATTATCCTCGCCACATGATGTGGAAAATGTAATTGTCGAAATAATGAAAACGAGATTGTTATCACTTAATTATTACTGTTGTGCTCTGATGATTTATTACATTTTATTTTAAAGGAAAGAATTTTAACTTTATGCTGATTAATCACAATATGTGAAAGATTTTATTCGATCTTAGATGCAAAAATATTTTATAAGAAATTATTTTATTATTCAAATTTTTGCAGGAAATCAAAGAAGAATGTTTTTCTTATTTCCTTCCTGGATACTTTTCTGCAGCATCATGCCAATCAATTCGCAAGGGAAAACATTATTAATAGCCCGACATTTATTTACATAAACTATTGATTTGTTTTGATGGTCATGTGTGTGGATGTTGTCGAGAAAAACTAAACAGAAACTATTTTCAGATATTCACTTACGACAATAATATTGGATTATAAAAGTTTGACGCTTCATCTAAATCCACATTTCATCAAATTGTAGAATCTTATAATTTTATTGCTTCGATTTTATCTTTAAATTGCATCTTTACTGCTCAAACTTTCCCTCTGACATCATGAAAACAATTTAATGATCAAGGATAAGAAGAAGAAGAAAAACAGATTCTGTCATCGGGAAATTTGAGAAAAACACAAACAGCTAGGGATGAAACATACAGAATGACTCGCTTAAAGAAGATGATGACTGGAAGGAAATTTTTATGAAAAACAAGTCAAGTGTAAAGAAGCCGCCCGCCAAGAGAGCTCAGGAAAAATATTTCCGAAAGAATGCTTAAGTCTTGTTTATTCAAAACATGATTTATGATCGGCGATGATGTAAAGTCGAGTCAAATATTTGTTGAGATATCGCGAGATAAAAATGAAGCGTCATAAAATTTTCTCTTTAATTATTTTTTTTTTCATTGAAGTTACAAAGAAATCATCAACTAAAGTATCATAAAACAAACCAAAAAAAATGTTATCATTAGATAACAATGTTAATTTTTCTTCACACAACTTAATTCTCTTTATGGTTTCACTGAGTCATGTAAACTTCATCCCAGGGGATAAATTGAATAACAAAAAATAAAAAAGTTAACAGTTTTGTTGTTTGCCTTTTTCTTCCGACAAACAACAACAGCAAAAAAAAAAGATTTTATAAATGTTTTGTCATGTACGTTCCCTACTTGAACAAAGTGATCAATTCCAGGGGTTGATTTGTGTAATCGTCAAAGACAATTTAAGTTGATTGCTGATAGTCATCTACTTCAATGTTGTTGACTTAATTTCTTGGATCAATTGAATGGGGAAAAGTTTCACGAATCTTAGCTATAAAAAGCATCTTAATAATCCTGAGAAATGACAGTAAAGAATCGTGTGAAGTAAACGTTTTAATCCTTCTGGCAAAGTTATTTGCGAAATCTTGAAAATTACTTTACTAATATCAGATATCAACATTGTCAGTGGGGATGTTTGAAAGCAGCGAAAAAAATAATTTCATTAATGCACTATCAACAAAATAAAACGAGAGAAATCCATTTCAAACCCTAACGACGTAAGAAGAAATTTATGATATTGAGATATGAGGAATTGTCTTCATTGTAGATTTTCCATAAAACAATTTTCATATTTGTCATTCTGGGAAAGAAAAAGAACAATTTCACCCCCGTTTGCATTACATCCTCACTAAATATTTTATCGTCGTTTCGAGAAGAAATGTAAGATGACTTCGAACGACTTAATGTGAACATCATAAATTTCCCTTCATTTCTATTTTGAGAATCGTTCACAGTTTGTCATCCTTAACTGCCGCGGCGTATAAAATGCAGTCATGCGTGAATACTGCATGATGCAGTTCATTTGAAGCGATTGTTAAATGTCGTGATTTGTAGTTTGATAACAAAATATTTTATGTCGAAAATAAACTGAAGAAAATTAATTAAAATTGAGATTTCTTTTGAATGTTACATAATTATTGATCATCAAATTTTTAAGAATATTTTCAGGAATTCAATCAACTTCTATGAATAATGTTAACATTCAAGGAAATACAAATCACTTTCATTCCCTCTCATCAACGTAATCTATTAAGCAATATTTACAGACAAACAGCAATCGATTAATTCAATGAGTCTTAACCCTAGTCGATAACGAAGATTTTCCATTTTTCTCCTCAGCAGTAGATAAATCAAGTCCCGATTGCAACATTCAACCCTCCACTCCGCACTTCCATATCAAATCACTTTTCTTTGCTCAATTGCAAAAATGTTATGATTTCTTTTTATTTCGTACAAAATGAGCCATCTCAATGACTTTACTCACCCCACGATATAAATACACAATGAATTGAAATTTATTTATCCATCAATTGATATTTATAGCAATTTTAGGATGATAAATTAACATAAAAGTGCATTAATTTTGTTATTTTTTGCAATTGTTCGCAATAGAAATGGTTTTTGTATATGTAAGAAAAGGGAAGAAAAAAAGTTTGATTAGTTGAGTGGTGGAATCGAGAGAATCTATTCAGGAAACAATACAACGATCTAATCTGGGGGTGATTTATGTTGGATGCTTGTACACTTTGCTAATGTTATGTATCAATACAGCATCAGCATGAAGTCTTTTCTTCATTTTTCAAGAAGCTTGTCATCAATTTTTAAGCAATTCTTGTCGGAAATTCCATGGAGAACATGAAAAACATTAAATGACCGATGAAGAGATTAAGAAAGACGATAAGAATAATTTACGTAAAGGCCAATAAAATCTCTTCTAATTTTGTCGATTTTCCATGTGATCATACTGTGAGTTAATTAAGTAAATTGATTATTTGATTACTTCGTTGGTTCAGTCTTTCATCATTCCAATGCTGAGACATGTGAGTTCTTGTGTATCCACGAAAGTTACGCAATCAGAACAAATTATCTCTGATTTTATGCAGACCATCGTACAATAATCATAAAAAAGGGAAATCAAATGTGACAACGCTTAACACAGCAAAAGAAGATTTTTGTCGCAATTTATTCATTGTAGAGATAGCTTCGAATTTTTTTATCATTGAATAAATTACTCACGTCATTTAATTTGTCATCATTCTCGATAACGATCCATAAAGTTGGAAACCCTTTTTCCTGCCAGTTTTCGAACGATTTCGATTCTACATCATTTAACTTTCTGAGCGTAGAGTTATAATAAAATTTTCATGTGACTTTTCCATCATCTTATTTTTAAAATATCTTCTGCAATAAAAATACTTTTTGAGATTTAAAATTTAAGTAAAATTCTTTTTTCCCTTTCACAATTTTTATTGCCACATTATGCAGCTACATGTGAACAGAACCAGTTAAGCGAGATATTTTATGTCTTTCATAATAAAGTTGATTTGTTCGATTTGATAAACTTTCTTGACTTAATTAAATTGCTGTCGTATTTAGAAGTAAGTCCACTGAGAACGTCGTCTAGAGAGTCATTATCATCTCATGCTCATTTAATTTCAAGTGGAAAAAGTTTCAAATGAAGAATTATTGTGGTCATTAAACTCATCGAGTTTTAACTATTCAAAAAACAACCCCTGCATTTAATTTCTTTCCCTAACTTCGATTCAAGTGTAGCTAAAGTAACGTGCCAGTGAAGTAATAATTCATACACATTTTTTATCACCCCACGACTGAGATTTCCTATCCCATTAACTTGTTTTCATTACTGATGAAGATAATTTAATTATCTTAAAAATGTTTTCCAATTAAACATATTAACAAATGTAACGTTTGCCGATCTTATCTTTAATTAAAATCTGCATGATTATTAAAAGGATTCAAACATTAAAACTTGCAGAATAATTTGATTTGATAAAAATCAAGGAAATTTGTATAATAATATTTCTTTTTAATTTATTGAGATACTAAAATCGTCAAAGCTCAAGAATTGTAAGATTGGCTATGTCTGCGCTTGTGTCAATAATTGGGCGTAAGATCCCAGCAATGGGGAAGAAAATGGCGCCATCAAGTCGATTCAGTATTGCATGAAAATATGAAATAAAATGGAGAAGAATTATATTGTAAGATTTGTCAACAAAATTTCCTTCTGCAATGCTGAAAAATAAAGTATGAAAACTTTGTTATTTCAGCTGTAGCGACTTTCATGAATCAATTTGTCGTTTGAGAAAGAATGAAATATATTTTAAAAAAAACTTAAAATGCATTGTGTAATTTACAATATTTACATTACATTTTGCTAGACGGTTTATTGTCTCCAGCATACATTCACTTTAGATTCTGAAGTATCTGGAATAATATTTTTTCAGGATTTTTTATGATTGCAAACGAGACGAAATAAAAATCTCGAGTCGTTTCTTTTGTAATTAGAAGTGAATAAATTTTGTTTATTTTTCACTGAAAAAGGATTGAAGGAAGTAAAGAAAATATAGTGTTGTGTCAATTTCATCAATTATAGACACTGGAATGAGGCTTTGAAAACATTTCTCTGTCACTTGTTTCAGTTCAGTGAATTCAAGGATGTCATAAATTTTATTTAATGTCAGTTCGGAAAAAAGAATCAAAACAATCGAAATGTCTTTTCTCTACAACTGAATAAATGTCTTTTAGTCGCCCTATGTTGGACTTAACTATGTTCCATAACTTTATATCGATAGAAATATCAAGAAAATATCATAGATCAAGACATTTATGCTTAACAAATATTTGCAAATCTTGACTATTCAGAAATGTTTTCTAACATTTTCCGATTGGATGATTGCCATAAGAAAAATTCAATAGCACCATTTTCAATGATATGTGTTCTTGAATTCATAAGCCAGCCGCCTTCGTAAGCCTGACTGAAGCTGTCAGAGTTTTAATTGATGGAAACGGACATGATTTCAACTTCCTTTCGTAGGGACATTGTTATATTTGCTTCTCTCTTCTTTATTTTTTGTTGTGATTTGTTCCGGGAAGTGAAAAAAGTTTCATCGATAAATAAAATCATCGGAACTATCTACAGAATAAAGCAAAATTATGAATTTATTGCTTTTCTCTTATCGACTTTCTTGTCAAATAAAAATTTATTTCCTGCAGACTCCGATATGTGATCAAATTTTTATTGCTTTTCAAGCTATGTGTGCGATATTGAAAAACATTAAAAAATTTCCACAAGCATGAAGAATTGTTTGCGATAAAATTGTGAGAACTTTAGAATCTTAATTCAATCTTCTATGTAGGTAATAGAATGAAATTTTAATTTGTTTCACTAAAGAGATGAATCTTCCATTGTTTTAAATTTTAACGATAAATTTGAAATTTCATTTTGAGCATAGGAATGCGTATAAGTGTTAGTGACATGCGATTCGCATAGTTTTGTTTTTACATAAAGTCGAGAATTACCTAAAAATTTCTTTTTATCAATTTAATAGAATTTTAATAACATTTTACATTTGGAATTGTGTTCAAATTTATTATTTTTAGACATGTCAATTGTTACTTCTTCACTACGTAGGATTGCCATTTCTACAAAGTTGTACAATCGTCAAAGAACTCAAGGTCAGTTTACTTTATCTCAGTTCTGTTGTTTACTAATATGTTCTACGTAATAAATTCTTTAATGAATTATCAAATTAGGACTTGCATCAGCTGCAAAATTCTGTAAGTGACAAAGTTATTCATCTTTTATTGAAAACATTAACTTGATTATTCGTCTTTTAAATATTTTTTCTTTAAATGTTTAGCTGAATTTAATTGGGAAGATCCATTAAATTTGGAATCACTTTTAACCGAAGAAGAGATTTCCATTCGTGATTCGTTTAGACAATACTGCCAATCAGAATTACTTCCAAGAGTCACACAGGCAAACAGAAATGAAGGTAAGACAGTTGTTTAAATTGAACAACTAAAACAACACATCACTTCTAAAATATTCTTCGTTATTCCCAGTGTTTGACAGGGATATTTACAAAGAAATGGGAAAATACGGAGCTCTTGGCTGTACAATTAAAGGATACGATTGTGCAGGTGTATCAAGTGTTGCATATGGGCTGATGACTCGAGAAGTAGAACGAGTTGATTCAGCATACAGATCTGCTTTATCAGTTCAAAGTAGTCTTGCGATGGGTGCAATTTATATGTATGGAAATGAAGCTCAAAAACAAAAATATCTTCCGAAAATGGCTAAAGGAGAATTAATTGGTTGTTTTGGTCTTACCGAGCCTAATCATGGAAGTGACATTGGCGGAATGGAAACAAGAGCGAAGTTTGATGCAAAGTCAAAAACTTATGCTATAACTGGAAGTAAAACGTGGATCACAAACTCACCTATTGCAGATATTCTGATTGTTTGGGCTAAAGTTGAAGACGGGAAAGTTCGTGGTTTTATTGTTGATCGATCTGAAAGTTCTAATGGCCTTGCAACACCGAAAATTGAAGGAAAATTTTCATTAAGAGCGTCGGAAACTGGAATGATTTTATTAGATGATGTAAGAGTGCCTGAAGAAAATCTTTTACCAAATGTAATTGGAATGAGTGGTCCATTCGGTTGCTTAAACAACGCTCGTTATGGAATTGCTTGGGGAGCTTTAGGTGCTGCTGAAGCTTGCGTATCAATGGCAAGACAATACACGATGGACAGAAAACAATTCTCACGGCCATTAGCACAGACACAATTGATTCAATTGAAACTTGCCGATGCCATCACTGAAATATCCCTCGGACTCATGGCTGCTTATCAGGTTGGGAGATTAAAGGACAAAGGCCAACACAATCCTGATATGGTGTCACTTATCAAACGAAATAATTCCGGAAAATCGTTGGAAATTGCGAGAAAATGTCGCGATGCACTTGGTGGTAATGGAATAGCTGATGAATATCATATTATTCGACATGTCATGAATCTTGAAGCTGTTAACACTTATGAAGGTACACATGACATTCATGCTTTAATCCTTGGCCGTGCCATAACTGGACTACCAGCATTTTAATTTCGTCACTTTGATGATTATTTTTTTATTCAAAACCAAAAGAAAAATGTAAAAATTGTTGAATTTGTTATATTTGGACACTTTAAAGTTTAAACAAAATTTGAATAAAACAAGATATTATCATATTTTTAACTAACTTCCGAAGCAAATCATAATTATTCATAAAAAATAAAATTACCGGCATCGACTTTACGCGTTTAGGTGCAACACTGAATAAATTTGAATATTTCCCGCGCTTTTGTTATTCGTATAATCGTGGACGGGTTATTCGAATCTGTCGTGTACGAAATAAAATTTTTATAGTCCCTGAAATATATTTTAATAATTTGTTTGACCTGTAATCAAGTGTTTTAAAAGATTAAACTATGATTTATCATTTCTTCTACAAACTATAAAGCCGAAGTTTATATTAATTTCATGTGAAATGTGTTATTTTTCTTGAAAAATCGGTGTTTTTATTCAGATGTTTTTTTCTTCCACTTCAGGGCTATGTAAGTAAAATATTTTATTAGAAAAGATTTTTCAACTAAATATCTAATGGAAGAAAATCAATAATCTTCTGCGCTGAGTGAATTGTGACAATAATGAAAAGAACTTTTTATTTAATGTTATATCCTGACTTTAATATATTGTCATTTACAAATATTTCAAGCATCTGATAAAAATTCTGGGAGTTGGTTGTCCAACACAACCAAAGAATTCCACTTATCAGTCATTGCTTACAAGCTCTATTTATCTTATTTTTTTAAAGATAAGACTAAGATTCGCTAAAGACATGCGGTATTGTGTTGGTTATTGTTGACTTCGCGAAAAAAAATTGTGCAAGCTGGTTTTGTTGTGAAACAAATTATTGGCAATTCCATGTATGGAAATCTTATGAGAATCTAATGGGGCTGTTTATGCCTCTCATATGAATTCGCGTGAACTTTTTTTTTGTATAGTATGTGCTTGAATATTAACGATATTCCATGGCGTGTAATTTTATGAGGGTACGTTTATTAAGCTAATTTTCAACTCACGAGGGATGATTTTGTGTTTTCATGAGTAATTAAAATTAAAGAGAACAACAAAATGAATCATCAAAGTGTCGAGTGTGCCAAGGAAAGGCATGAAGAAGCAAAATAAAATATAGACTCTTTGACGTAAAAATAGCGCCAAGTTCAATCATGTAGGTAAACGTCTCGAATCACTTTCAGTATATTTTGTGAGAAATCCTAATTTCCACGTCACAATTCTGAACTATCTTCAACAGAACTTGAAATTATCTACTAAATACCTTTTATGACTGAACGTTTAAACAGCTTTATCAATTAAATTGTTTTCTATTCATCTAAAATACATTTTCATTCATTGTTTTTTTTCTCTAAAATTCTGAATGTGTATTTATGAGAATAATATTTGAAACAATCTCCTTTGCTCTCAATCGTCAGCCCCATCAAAACTTGAATCTGAAATCATCAAGATATTTTCGTGATCTTCTCGCCGTTTTCATTAAGACTTTGTTCGATCTTTATGCATAATTTTATGATTTTTTTTTCTCGTATTCATTTAGTTCGAAATACTAATTCTCGCCTTCTCTCGCGCCCGGCACTCACACATGGCTCAAAATGAGTAAACTGAAATAAACTTAATAACTTTTTTATATAGACTTCAGTCTGTCTTTAAATTTGTTTGCTGTAAGTCGCGAGGAAAAAAAACGTTTGTGCGCTTAAGTCTCGAGAAGAAGAAAATTTAAAATAAAAATTGAAGGTTGGTTGGTGTCTCAAGTAAAGTTCCCTTTTCGCAAAAAAAAAATAAATAAAAAAAGTGTTGGAAAAAGGCGAGCAAAATCATAAGTTACGCTCGGATGTGTGGATCTATTATTAATCCTTCACAAATGAGTGTTTTCGTAATAATTTAACACCAAACGACTTGGCGTATAAAATCTGCACATTTGATGTGTGAAAAAGGTCACCGCTGAATGCATTTCAAGCGAAATTTTATGAAATTCTAATCCAAAATATTGAAAAGAAATCTCAAGTGAAGAAATAAAAAAAGTTTCACAATCGGAAAGAAATATTTTTTCGAATGTTATTTCCACACGAAATATTTATCTAAATTTAAAAAAAAAGGTTTCTACCCAACTCGCAGCACCCACACATTCGTCAATGATCCGTATACACACGACACGTTCAACGATTACGTTTTTGATCAGATGAATGAGAAAATTTCGTGAACAAATCGATTAGCAAGCGGGTGTTATTGATTTTCCTTGGAAAATACGGAAAGTGTTAGAAGTAGTGAAATTTTTGATAATGAATTTTTAACTAAATTCTCACAAGTTTAGATTTACAAGTTATAGAATACGTTGAAGCAAATTTTGCTAATGTTTATCTGACGGGTGTTATAAATATGGAAATATTTCGCGATTGTGTGTGTGTAGCTCGTTGGTTAATGCTGTGTAAAGTAAAGAACCATTAGTGACTGTTTTAAATATTTTTTTTATCAATTTCTTAGTCGACTAGCAAACGGGTCATGAATTGACTCATAATCAAAGTGCAATTGGCAAAACAAAAAGTTTTCAACGAATAAGAATAAAAAGTGTTAGAAAACTGCTTCTTCAAACTTTTTTTTCAACGTTATTCATGTTTCCTGTTTGATGAATCGACAAATTCTTTTAACATAAAACAAGCACTTAGGTAAGTTTGAAAGAATGAATGAAGTGATAAAGATATTTAACTTAGAAAACTCGAAATTCATTCATATTAAAGTTGTCATTGGGCGTTTTATTATTATTCGATTATTCGTTAATAAAAAATATTCACTTTTCGGGAAGTCGACATTTCTCGTTTGAAATATGATAGAAATTCAAATCAGATTTGCAGATCGAAAACAAACCTCACCAGTCTGTCAATTTATTTTGAATTTTGAATTTATATTTAATCACCAACACGCTAAAAGACCATAAACCGAATTCATGAATAAAATAAAATAAAACTTGGTCCATTTGCCAACATCAACAAGCGATCTGATGCTTCCACACAAAATAGTGCGAGATCTGCCTACGATCTATCAATGATCACATACTTTTTAGTTCACTACAGCCAGACGAAAGCAGCAATGAATTTTTATTTATAAACAAAACTTGAGAATGTTTCTTCTTCAACATTTTCATCTCGTGTTGATTGAATTGTCGTAGGAAAGAAAAACGTTTGTTTTTCTGTTTTCGAGTTCATTTTTGGGAGAATGGACAAAGCGGTTGTTTTGGAAATTTATCTACATAAATGTTTATGTTCATTGCCTTTCTACGTTGTTTAACTGCATTAACATGTCAGTGCGCTGCAACAAAAGACGAGTGAGATACCATTTCGATTTCACTATGAAAATCAAATATGAATAAGGAAAAAAAAGTAAATCAAATATTGAATGTAAGAATCTAAACATGATGGAAAAGAGTGAGAAAGAATCAGATAAAATTTCTATGTAAATATTTACATTTCGGATGATATTTCTTATCATAAACGGTAAAAAGTTCCACGGAAAGAAATTCAAATGTTTTTCTTCTATTACACGTCGATTAACGTTTAAAATGCATGAACATGAAGTAACGATACAAAATCAATTTATCACAAGAGTTCGACGACATTTCATGCTTCTGGAATTAATATTAATGTAAAAATACCCGCATAGTGCATAATTTGGGTTAAAGTCGTGTAGTTTTGTTGTTCATTTCTCTGAAAGAATCGACAGTAGGTAATCAAAACTGTAGAAATTGCTGGGGGAAATCTTACAATGCAAATGAAAGAATCTTTCTTTAAGTTCAATACGGCACAAACGTTAAGAAACCTTTTACAAAAAAAAGTGAAGAGGTTTTGTATATGTTAAATATCGCGAAAGCAACTTTCCAACATCCGTTAACTCAAGATGTGACTCATGTTGCTTTATGTAGCGTAATGAATCACATGACTTTGTAACAACTAAACAAAAAACGTCGTCACTTGGATATGAATGCACTTACACTTTGACATTTTATTATTAGCTGTCATCATATTTTAATTGTCTAGTAGTGTCATCAAATGACACAAACGAAGTCTTTGAGTAACGCGTTAGACAAAAGAAACAAATAAACAGAAGCGAGAGACAAAATGGCTTTTTGGTGATTCCTAATTGATGAATTGATTGAATATGGTAACCGGAATTTAAACGTGCTGTAAAATATGTACACATAGCAATGACCTTGATGCTTGTTTAACACTAAAAACAAACACACACACACACGAAGATTCTAATTGACACCATCTCGGTGATGATATCCATATGGTGTATTGGACAAGCAAGCCAAATATTCGAAAATACATTCAAAATTTTCTGTCGCTTTCTTACTGCTTGAACGAAAATCAAAATGCAAAGCAAGTTGTTGTTTAATCAAACGCCACTTTGAAAACAAACAGATTCTTTTATTTTTCATCAATTTCAATTTCATTTTATGTAATTTAAATTCATAAGAGTTATAATCACCATACGGAAGTTATTTATGAGTTGTTTTATGACGTCATGTGGCAATTTAAATTTGATTTGGACATACCCAAGTTAATTGTTATTGAATACTGAATCATAAGAAGGAAAGAAAAATGATAAATAGCAATTAAAAGATATTTTTGGGATTAGCTAGATATTCACAACTGTTTTGAATGAATAAACATGTCGATTGCGTCATGCAGGAAAGAAATGAACAATGTGTCGTTTTCATCATTCTCATTATCGTTGAATTTCAAACCACACACCTGATTTTGTGCCAAGAGTAAACATTGAGGATAATTAGAAATTCGTTCCATTTCATTCTGTTCACTTTTTGACTTTATGCACACTTTGACTGGTGTTAAAGATCTGTCATCGCAATTGTAAAAATTCGAGACTTCTTACACTGATCTTTCTTAATCTTTTGATGGCGCTTGAAATTGCAGCTCGACATCTGCATGAATCAAAGGCAACATTTGTAAGAATTAAATAGAACAAGACAGCAGATCGGCTGAGATTTTCAAAGTCTCGAGGTTGTATGCGTTGATTTTTCAATACTCGTTTCGATTTATTTTTAGCTTCAAGTAACAAAAAAGAAGTCGAGATGGAAAATGTGGAAAAATGAGAGAGAAAATTACTGCTATTTTCTGTTTTCGATAAACGCCACACGATAAAAGATTTACAAGTTGCTTGCGGGGCTCAGACAATCTGAAATGTTGAAATTTTACACCCGAGTCGCGACATAAACACAAATAAAAACAAAAAAAATCGTTTTAGGGAAGAAAAACATTTTCAATTAAAATAAATATTATTTAAGAGATGAATCAAAGTTTTCCTCGAAGTTCAAAGGTATTTGATAGCTGAAATTTAAATCTTTAAACATGACTCAACTCGCGATGATTTATAAGATAATTTTAGATTCCACTTTCATTCGACCATCAACAATCGATTCTCGAGAAGTTCGCATTCAAATGATGATTTATTTCTCTGATGTTCGTTTGAATTTTAATTGAGAGTCTCGGAAACAACATCCGAATAACTTTATGTTTTAAATTTCTTAATGGTTGAAATCAATCTGACTTTATATGTTGTCAGTAAAGAGAGATCAATATTCAAAAAATCAGCCTAAAATATGAAAAGTTAATTGAAATATCTCATTTACCTTTTATTGCGCAATTTTTTAACAGTCAATTTCAGGATAATTGTGTCATCAACAGAAGTGGATGATGGATTTATGATTTGAAATTGAAATGAAAAACGAAAAGATTTCACTTTGTTTTATTTTTAACTTTTTTCTTCTCTCTCAAACTTCGGTGACATCATCTGCCGTTAACGGTGAAAAGATTTTGAAGACTGTCCAAGAGACTTGTTCCCATTAATAAATCAATTTAATGATATAGAAAGAACCACACAGTCAGTGGCGACATAAGACATTATTCTCTTGAACGACCCAAAAGAAGACTAATTTGTTTAGGAAATTATTTAAAATCGGAAGAAGATGGAAATTTTATAGCAACATATGTTAAAATGAAAGATAAATAATCACCTGTTAAATCAATCTAAATTTAAAAACAATTTGTCAAAGTTGATTCTCGTCTTTTGTTTCTTTTTTTTATGTTTTATGTATAAGAAGTCAATGAACTCAGCTTCCTTTGAAGGGAAAGATTTCTGGTATCAAATTGGTTCAGAAAGGAAAAATTTGATTCAATATGAAGAATGATTTCATTAAATTTCCATAGCATCTTATTGGGCTTTCATGTTTCATGCTGTTTGACTTCGATTTCAAACACCTACAGGTCGTTTCCATGATTGTCACTATTCGATTTCCTAAACATATTTAGAAGGCATATCACAATGCACGTATCGTTGCTTCTTCTGGTCCTTGTTGGGGTTTTTCAGCACGTGAGATGAATTTCCAAAATTATTGACTTTTATTGATTCATGTATCTTGAATATGAACACGAAATTCATTATTTCTACCAATAAGCAATTCAATTACCGCATCAAATTGTTAATTAAAGAAATTTTTATGTCTTGAACTCTTAAACGAAGTTAAGAAACACAAATTCGTGTCAACACCAGCTTATCCATATTTAATCCGTAATGGCTTTAGTTATGAAAGTTTCAAATATTTGAACTCAATCATAAATTTTTGTAGATTTCTGTTGTAAATATTTATTTTGCTAATATTTAATATTTATTTGTGAGCTTCTAACATAAGAGAAGAATTTAAAAATTCAATAGAAAGTTCAAATTCAAAAATTATTATTAATTAGCAAAGCCTTGTTAATTAAATATTTCCAAAGGTGACATTCTCGATATTTACAATTTAATACGAAAATAATTTTCAAATACAAAAGAAACTTCTACAATGAAATTATAATTTCAGTAGTAAAATTTGGACAAGAATTTACATTTAAAAATAAATTAAAAGATTAAAAATTATCCAACAAGACTTCAGTTTAAAAGCTTTGATAACATAATGAAGAGAAGTTTGAGATATTTCATAACTTTGAAATTCAAACAAAAGAAGTTTATGATGAATGGGGTTCAAGAGGCAAACGTCCTGGTGATTCCGGATCATGAAATAGAAAAGTTTTATCTTATTCTAACTTTTAAACGAGAACAAAAAATTTCCGAGTTGATGATTGAAGTTTCTTTTTTCTCATCTTCTTCTAACTCTTTCTCACTTTGCCCTCGATTTCTATTAGAAACTTTAAGCTTCGTTAGAACAGTGAATAAAAATCACTTTAATAGCTTTAATGCAAAAGGGTTGAGAACAACCCAGAATTTAAATTTAATTTGGTGCTTAGGATGAAAACACAAAAAACACAAACCGAAAAACGATTTCTTTTATCTCATGACATAAAAGCATCAAATAATTTGAAGAAAGCTTCATACTTAACGCACAATTGAAAACACGTAGGTGTAAACAATCCACTTCAAGCTTTTGTCTCAACACTGCTTAATATCTTTATTCCCTTGCGGTCAGTTGATAACAAGAGACAAATTCTCCATTATCTTTGATCTGATAATGGATATTATGATACATTTTCTATTATAATATCTCGTAGTTAAGCACATAAAGCTGCAGAAGTGAATGGGGCACTTAAAGTCTGAAAATCAATAAAATTTGATGTCAAGGGATGAGTAGCATCATCATTTTCATATTATTATCACCAACTGAGTGACACGCTGCATATTTTTGGATAGATAGAGTTGTGTAGGAAATATAATCCCTCAGAGATGCTTGATAATAATAAACAAAAGATCCATTAGATGAATGAACTCGTTAATGGGAATATTATGAAGGCTTTCAATCAACGAATTTCTATGTTTTTGGCATTGTTTTGCCTTCCTATGACTTCGTCATATTACACCTAACACTGTCGGTGTGTTTAAGAAAAGAATGAGAGAGAAATTGATTTCATATTTGAGGTTCGAAACTTTGATATTTATCAAGTTTACAAAATCTGCCATCACCTTTTCTTACTTTTATCATCCACAATACAAGTTTAAAAAATCTGGGCACATGAAACAAACAACTTTTTTTTTTGGAGGGATTGCGTAACGTCAATGCAGAACTTTGAGCTTTGCGAATAAATGTTGCCCGACTGTCGGGCGCCATTCAGCAGCTTCTCATCTATCCATTTCTCCACAATCTCATTCCATTGCAATTGCCTCCTCCGAACAAAGGCTAGAAAGAAAAAGACATTTTTCCAGCTTCATGCTGAGAAAATAAAGAAAACTCTCAGGGGTGTGTGTTGGTTGGAGCATAAAGATGTATCTCTATTACTGTTGGTGGTTGTAACTGATGACAGACTGCTTAATGCCGTTTCCGATGGAAAAGATAAATAACATTTGCAAGTAATTTCTCCATCGCAACTTCATTTAAATCATTGCAATTTATTTTTTCCTCACTTTGCTATTTATTGCACTTTCATCAACCAACCGGCCCTGATGATGTTAATAAAAAAAACTTCAATATTCCGTTCATTCGTGAATGGAAATTATCGTGGGCGTCTGAAGCTCTATTCAATATCGCCTAGAATTTTGCGTCTAAAAAAAGTCAATGAATGAGACAAACTTGCAGCAGATGCGTCAAGTGTCGAGTAAAAATGTGATGAAGGCAACAAGATTATATTTTAATGGAATTATATTCTCAACTCGAGTAAAGTGAATGAGTCTGCATGTCTATCTATACGCGAGTTTTCATCGCAGAGAGTCAAGTGAACATATGTGAATTAACTTTATTAATTGTGTCCATAAAGTTAAATGACGATGCGCCCACGCTATTTAAGAATCAATCAATGGAATGGCGGCGCTGTTGCTCCATATTTTGCTCGTTCATACCAACTTAGTCGACCTTCAAACTGAATGTTGACGGAATGTGGTTGGTGTTGATCTGCTTTGAGCAACTAATAATACTGTTCAATCATCGTCACTGCTATGTGTTCAGTGTGTCAGATTTTGTTGTAAATTCTCTGTTTTTATTCATTTCAATCAAATACCAATCGCGTGTTGAAATGAGTGGAATGTAAATACTTTCACAGAACTGAAAAGATGAGAAAATGTTTTTAATTGTTATTTAAACTCAGAATCGGAATATTGAATGACGTTTTATAAAATTCTGATTTGCGTAAAAGAAAAGTGAAAATTTTCTGTTTCGTGTCAATAACTTGAGATCAATAGCATCTTGAAATCAGTTTTTCATTTTCATGACAAAATAGATCATTGAACTCATTGAGACTTTTCATGTATAAAGATGAACGCAAAGTAGTAATCTGAAGTGAAATAAAAGAAGGTTGAAAAAGCATGTAAACGATCATTTGAAAAGCATTGCAACTTGCATCGTGATACAAAATGAAAAAAAAGAAGAAAACTGAGAATGACGAAAGATAAAAACCATAAATCCGCTTGATTTTAAAACGTTCCATTTCTTTCTCTCTTTCCCATCATCAACTGTTTCCTCAATTCAAAGCCTCATCATATAGCGATGGCATATAAAAATTGTTTGCAAATATGTCTAAGTATCTCACACTCAACAGTAGTTAACGTTATAATGCATCGTTCTAGTTTTCAACCGATTGAAACAGAGAAAGAGAGAAAAGGAAAAGTCTTTGCGGAAATGCTGTGCATAATGTGTCTGATAATGATTGTGAACTTTGTCGTTCTTTGATATTTATTTACGTCACAATGTCATTTTTATTTAGGTGCCTGGTCACAAAACTAATTTTCTTTTTTCTTTCTTTCAGATTTTTTATGTGAAAAGACAAGAAAATATTTTTGAAAACGACAAGCAGACAACGATAACGAGCATAAGCATTTTTAATTATTCTGTTGATTAAATTCGAGAAGATATCTTGTGCTAATAATAAAAATATAACAGCAGAGACGATAAGTCTTCCTTTTTTATTTTGAATCAACATTGAACAATAACTTCGAAAAGGTGAGTTAAATTATTTTTATCATCGAAAAGGTTAATCTCGCTAAATGATTTCTCCTTTAAAAGAAATTGTGAAAGGAAGAAATGGAAAACTTTAGATAAATCTATGAAATGTTTTCTGTAAAAATGTGTGTAAAACATCGGTGTAAAGTGAAACCGCTTTTCCAAATGTGATTTTTATGTTGATTCCCGGGTGAGCTCAGCAGCATTCGTCGTGTTATCTCGAATGTGATTGATGTTTCTTTGTGAGGTATGGGTTAGTTTCATGTCGATAACAACCTAGCGAGAAGATTTCTTTTCCTTCATCAATATCCATTCGAATGTCCAGCTGAGTTGAGTTGATTTTGAGTGGAAAGGAAAGAAAAATCTTTCTCCTTTTTGTTACCATGATACAAGTTTATGTCACCATGCAAGGAAAGGCAAAGCAAGGCGTCAGAATGTCGTCAACACTTTCTTCTCTCGCTTCGGTAGACAAGTTCAAAACATGTGAATGTGGCTGAAATATGCTACGAAAATTACTCACGGAAACATCTATGACCAGTTAAAATCCTGAAATGATTTTCTTTTATAAAAAATTCTCAATTTTTCTCCTCATTCAGCCTAATCCGATTGTCTTTTGTGTTATTTTCGTGAGGATTAGAGAAACACCATAAATTAACATAAATTGCGGCATGGTGCCAGTGAGATTTTATCTTTTGCATGCATGGCGACCGAGAGAAAGAACTTTCTAACAAATTGATTTTGTGGATTTTTATTTTATTTTTCTTCACTTGGAAATTTTCAATCCGCAAATTGATCGAATATTTGAAATTTCATTGTTACATTAGTGTTAGTGCTGATGAATGAATGAGTGTGTGAGTGTGTAGATTTTTTTATAACACATTTTACTGATGGGTGAACCGGCTTTGCTGTTCATTTTCCCCCTTTTTCCAATATTTTTCCGTCTCGCTTCAACATCAAAGCGAGTCGAATGTGAGTGGAAAATTTTATTTTCCATCCCTTCCAGTCACGTCGGAATCAAAGCGCATGCGCAATGCATTAGTGTGAGGGGAAATGATCACAAATTTTCATATAAATTTTCCATTCTGCGTCTTTTGTCGGTGAAAATGTGACAATTGTATTTGTGTTCATTCACCCCGTAAAATCTGAGCCCTTCATCGTCAATCCCTTGGTGCTATCATTCTAGGCCTAACCGTCGTGGTGAAAGCACCAACTCTAGAATATAAGTTAAACTTAAAATCGTGAAAGAGAAAAAGTAATTTTTGTTCTTTTCTTCTTTCAAATACATTTTATCTATTTGTTTTATTTCTGTTACATTCGTCGAAGACTAAAGAACATTGAGTTAGTGACAACTCCTGAGAATATGAAAAAGAACATTCGCTGTGCCTAATCAAAGAAACTTTCAGCCACTTCAGTCAGTTATTTGTTGTTGTCGTGACCAGAAGTCGCTCTACAGAGCTCCTGAAAAAAATATTTATTTCTACCGTTTGTGCTTACATTGTTATAAAAGAAGAAAGAGAAACAATTTAAAACATTTTTCAAAGTGAAACATTTTAGGAATTTCACAAACGCAAAGTGCCTTTGAAAACATTTTGCCTTCAGTTTTATAAAATAAAAGAAACAAACTTTTGCTTTAGTTTTGCGTGAAGCGAGTTTTTAATTATTCTTTTCCTAAATTTTTTAACAAATTAAAAAGATTTGGCATCCAGAAGTTGCCTCGAGAAAGGACGTCGTCGTTCGCTTTCTCTATGCTCACAGATTGCCTTTCCTAATCATAATTGAGACAATTTATAAGCAAACGAGTTGTTATTGAGTGCCTACTGAAAAAAGAAACAAGACGAAAATAAATAGAGTAACAAAATCAAATTACAAGCGAAACAATGATGTTCGATTGTTTAAAAGCTTTCATGGGTAAGTGAATAAGTAATCTTTCTGTAATAATTTCATTTTGTTTTATAATTTTCCCTACAACTCAAACACTCATCGTGACTTTCCATTTATTCGATTTATACACACACTCGTGCCTTGTTCTCTTTTCTCACATCACCATGAAGCCTTTAAAAGCTTCAATAAACGATAAGCATAAAGGTCGACTAAGTTTCTGTCCAATTTTCATCCCATCGCAAATTCTTTTCAACTTTAAATAATTTTCCTTCTTCTTTCAACATCAAGACAAGAAAGAAAAAAGTGTTGTCATGACAATTTAGGAATTTAATTAAACTTTTAAATTCTTATTCCTTTTTCTTTCATTCAACGTGTAATCAATCGAAAAAAGGAATTGATATTGTGAATGCTTTCCGATGATCGAAGCGATTTGATCACAGAATTCAATTTAAAAAAGATGCTGCCGCTCTCTTCATGTTTTTAATTGAAATACCATGCATTATTTTCAATGCAAAAACTCAGCACATTCACATGAGTACCATATTGAAAATATTCACTTTATAATTTCGTTAACAGCGTGGGAGGTTTGCCTTTTTTTTGTTATTTTTGAGCAAAATATTTATTTCAATGAGAAGATGAAAATTTGTTGTGCAAAAATTTCTGAAGTGTTTTTTTCTCTGTTTTGTTTGTGCTTTATTCAATGCGATGCAACATATTTAAACATGAGCAAGCTTCAAATTGAAGCTTTTATATGCTGGTAGAAACCCCGACCTGATATTGAACATTTTAAAATTTCTCCCTTTTAAATAACGCTTCGTATAAATATCGGCAAAAAAAGTTGAAAGGTCTCACCCCAGAATATTAAGGTTTATTAACTATATTTATTGACTGTTTAAGTTATAAAATTTCTGACATAATTGATTCTGTTCATTGAATGCCTTTCACTATAAATGTTGGAAAGCTTTTGTCCTCTGATCCCCATTGATTGTTATTTGCATCTGTTTCGTTAGATTCAATAGCAGTCTTTGAAAATTCAAAGCTGTTACCAGGAAAGTTGGTTGCGAATATTGGAAGAGCGAAGAGACTTTCGTGCCAATAATAAAATTTAAAAATTAGGCCGTTCACGAAGCCATAGTCTGTAAAGCTTTTAATCAACATGCTTTTGCATGTCCATCATAATTGAAAAATGTTTGGCTTTCAATGATGGACGTTGATGGGAAATTTCTGTTTTTATCGTTTCCATTTTTATATGTTTTCGAGAGACTTATGTGCAATAAATTACTTAAATGAGTGGTCGATCTTATGTGCGAACGACGCCATCAAAATTCTGTTTGAACAATTTTTTTTCGACTGCAATTTTTTTTTCTCAAATCTAACAAAGTGCCAATTATAAGAGTTGATGAAAACACTCGCCATGAAGTTCTTTCTCATCATCAATTCCATCACCAACTGAAATGCTATAAAATTCTCTCCTCGATAAATTGTTATTGATTTTCGTTTTCTTTTATGATTTAGTTGTGTGTAACGACGAGGTTGCCTTCAAAAGTAACAAACACGATACCTAATTCAACAAAGAATTTCATTTTATTTAAGTCAACTCAATGACTTACTTTTTATTCGTCATAAAAAAAGAAAAGCACGAAAAGATTCCTCAGTCATGATGATTGTTGACATTTTGTCGCCCCCCACTGAACACAATACGTCCATTTGATCTTTTCTTGTTGATAAATTATTTGGAACTAAACTGCATTTGGTGTCGGTGTCAAAATTAATTTTCAAAGGAACTTATCATCATTCTAAAATTAAATAAGTAGAAAACTGCTTTGCATAACTTTCTTTCGTCTCTTGTCTACGATGTAGAATATTTTAAGTTCTGTTTTCCCCTCGAAGCTGTTTCTTAACTTTGGATTTTTAATTAAATAAATTTTCTGTCGTCTCAATTTCATCAAGCGACATTTCCAACAGAGTTTTTCCTTACATTTCTCAATCCGTTGATGCGGATGCAAAAATGTCATTAAAATCCATTAGTTTTCATCTCTGCTTTTATTTAGCAAGCGCCTTTTTATTAAATTCTATTAAAGTGGAGAGAAATGAAGACAACAACACCAATAAGCTTAAATTTTATTGATCAATTATCGCCTAAGGTTTCATCACGCCCATGTACGTTCAAATATTTTCCTTACACTTACACTCAATTTTACTTTCCAATTTAATTGATTGGAGATTATTGGAATGGGGAAATGTGTTTTTCCAGAAAAAGGAATTAAAATTAATGATCATTTCTCTCCCCATCTTTTTATTTTTATTGTTCCTCCGAAAGTTTTAAAATAACATACGTACGTATAGAATAAATGGGTGGATATATAAAACAATTTCCTTTATATCAAGGAAATAATCTCCTAAACAAAAAAAATATCTAAAATTAATTGGACATCCTGCTATCATAGAAAAACGAAGAAGAAAACAGTTTGGGTGCGAAATATTTAACTATCTGGAGATTTACGGTCGTCAAGTAAGTGCCATGATGTGTTGCTTTAATGTTTATATTGAGTTTTTACTTCCTTCTCATGACTTCCATCTGGATCCAATAAACACGCATTCAACTCACAACAGCCTATAAATAAATGAAATCAAATAATTCAATTAGACTCAAGCAATCAAAACAGGAGAAAGAAAGAGAGAGAGTGAGAGAGAGTGAAAAGAAGTTTGTTTTTGTTGTACTAAGTCTCAAGAGCTAATAAAGTGGATTTGGAAATGAAATCAATAGAATAATGGCAATAAAAACATGCACATCGAAAAGCTTTTTCGCTTACATTTTCCACTTTTCTTTATCACCACCTAGCTGCTGATGTTAAGAGATTCTTGAATCTTTTGCATTTTGTGTGTTTGTCACATTCAATGACGTTGATTATTGATAGGAGAAGCTCTCGAAATCTGAAAGCTTTTCTCAAGAAGATCGCACGAGTAATGTTTGTATCAGCAATTTTATTCCTGAATGTAACTGTTCAGAATATAATTCTATGAATTTTTATTACGAAGATTTCACATTTCATTCATCAGTTTCGTTCTCTATTACAGAAGTTGAAGAAACTTTTTCTTGCTTATTTAATTTGAAAGAATTTTTCATGACACTTTAAATATTTATCCAAACGAGATCAAAACTTTAGCGAAATTCTCCCATTAAACTTAACGGTAATCGCTTTTTGAGAAGCTGCAAATAAATTTAAATTAAGCAGCCACCCATTATGGGCTTTTCCGCTTTCACTCACTCTTTCTGTGCTTTTTTATTTCAACTTAGTAGTAAGAGTGAAAAGCAAGAAGACAAAACAAAGGCACGATTAATTTAATTTCCCTCAACGATACAAATAAATTTTATGTTTGCTTCATCACAGTGAAGATAGCAAAGCCACTTGAGATGAACACGAGGCAGCGCTTTGATGCTCCAACATTCACTTAACTCATTCAAAGAAAGAAAAAGTTCTTTTTCGTGTTTTGGAAAATCGTTTACAATACTACGAAAATTCTCATGTGCTAACTGAAATACGAGAACGACAGAGAAGAATTTAATTCAATTGAAAAGTTGTCTTTAAGAACAAACAAATCTTTTCTAAGATTTATTTACGTCTTTACACAGTTTAGAAGACTCTCACATAGTGAAGACTTTTCCATCTACATAAGAGCATGCTGGAATCTACTTTTATTTATTTAGCAAGAATTCTTCCTTTCCGTTTTCTGTAATTTGATTCTCGGCTTCTGAAAAGTCATACATAAAGTAAAATAAATGTTGTAAGAATAGAATGGAGAACAATGTAAGTGAATATTCCTTTAAAAGAATAAAATTTATTTGTAAAGAATCTGCATGGTCAGAAATCTCGTTTTTTATCAATTCTGATGATGATGTGGTGATAAAACTCAGATGTGTACCCAAAATGGGCATTTCAATTCATTTATACATATATATATATTCCTATTGATATACAAAGATATCTTCTGATATACATTCAAGGATTATGTAAAACTTTTCCGGGAATGTGTTTAATGTGTTTTTATCCCCACACAACAGTAACAATTTTAATCAATTTTCTTTACCACTTATTCTGAAGCTAATCATAAAAGTTTGAAACTTTTACAAACCCAATAAGTCTTCTGTCAATGTTCCTTAAAATTCTAATTAGAAAAAAGACATTACACGTTGGGAAGTTGAACTGTTATCAAGTTTCTGGGGTCAATGATTGCGCACAGGCATGGTCATGTTGCGTCCTCAAAATGGAACATTAATTAACATAATTAATTTGAAATGTTTTTGTGTCTGTGGGTAACTTTCGGTTCTTGTTAATGCATAACTATCGCGACACTTATTTAGTTTTATCATCATATTGTGGGTAACATTTCACATGTGAATTCTGCAATGAAGTTAAACGATAAAAATTAAAAACGAATTTCAATTCAGTCTGTTTCTGATGTCTATGAGGCGCTTCTGGAAACAATCTATCAATGAAAACGCTTCTTTTTTTTTGTCAGTGTGAAAACCACAGAAAATTTCGTCGTCGAAAAAATATTTCCCTAGTCATAAATCTCTGAACCCTTTTTTATATTCATTCATTTAATAAAATTTTCTCCAAATTGATGACAATAGCTTGAATTTGCTTTGCACGATTGAAAAGAACGAAAATATTTCTACCGTTTGTAACTCGCCATTCTCCCCTTTCCATTTTCTATTGAGAAAATTATGTTTTCAATCATTATGTCATTCCAAAAGTAGCAAGAATGATAAAGAGACAGAAAGAGAGTGAGAGAGAGGGAGAAGGGGAAATGTAAAATATTTTCCACGAAAAGAAAATCGAATTAAATCATAAATGTTCATGATGATGAATAATTCATACTGCTTGCTTAGTTGTCTTCCACTGTGTCGGTTGATTATCATGAATCAGACTCATAAAATGTGTCAACATTAGGCGACGAAAAATATGGATCAACTTCCTATTTTCCGATTCACTCTCTGAACATAAATTATATCAACGATTGAACCTTAAACTCTGCAAAGAACAATATTGAAAAAAGGAAAAAGGTATAAGAAAGAAGACACAAAAAAAATCTCCCATAATTCATCATCAATCGAGATTCTATCGAGTAAGAAGTAAGATAAAAGAAGAAACATACAAACATAAAACAGTTCATAAGGAAAAGGAAACTCAGCTTTAATGGGTGAGTTTGTTTGTTATACTTCTTCTGTTGCGCATAGAATCCACTCGGATGGTATTTATTGTTGCGGGTAAATGAACTTGTTTTTACGAAGTAAATTAAACAACTTTCCTTCGATCGATGACGATGCATTGGAATTCTTTCCATAACTGATTAGAATATTTCTTGATGAAAGAAAAGTTGGATGTGAGTGGGAAGTAGAGTTTGGAACAACTGCGCTGATGCTGACTTGGAATTATTTTCTCCTCGAAATATTTCCTTTCCCTCCACGTTATAAAACAACTGCATTTATCTGCGCACACCTTCAGAAACTCACAACTGCATTAAGTTGATGATAACTTGGAAGCAGAGTATTCAGTTTTCTTTTACTCTTCAAAGTGATAGCACATAAATGTGAAATAAAACAATAATGTGAATTCAAAAAGGGGATAAAGGTTAGAAAATGTCTGAAAATATTTTCATTTGTTTGTTCAGATGAAAAAACTTAAAGCGAAGCTGAATAAATTTTATTTTTCTCCATGAAGCTTTTTTTTGTTTAGCGAGTGATTCACGTAGCTTGATAACTTCACATCTTTTGAATATTGCTACATTGTTGATTATGTGGCTTTTTATACAATTCTCGACATTTTATGCACATGTGAAAATTTCTTTCATTATTTTATAACTACGGTTCGTTCTTCTTATCATCCTTTGGGTGTTGAAACATCAAAACTATTTATTTGTTCGTGTAATTTTAAAAGTAATCTGAAAACGTGTAAATGATGAAAGAAAAAAATCGGAAAATGTAACATGAAACATAATTGTGTTAGTGAGAACATTTCTCGTTATGTTGGGGTGCATGAACGATGGTTGGCATGGAAACTCTCAATATCTACTCTCGTTTTAAATGAGTTGAAGAAAGAAGTTCTTCATTCTTTAAAGAGATTTCTCGTTGTATGATAAAACCTGATTTCAGTTAGAAACTTTTCTTTTTTTTTGTAGCTTTCCACGTCATGAAGCGCATTGTTGTAATTTTTATTCTTCTCCACTCAGTTCTTGAATTGATGTGCTTAGAGTAAAAAAAAACTTTTTCTTCCTTCTTTTGTAAGAATTCATCTCATCTTAAAATAAATTCCAAAAGAAGCTAATTAATTAAATAAATGTACATATTCAGTGGTTTTCATTCTTGTGAATTTGTGGGGTGTCTGTTAAAGCTTACAGAATCGAACACTTTTGCGTACACAGAAAATCACGTGAAGAATCTTTTCTTTGGCTTCAGATTTAAAATTTTAATTGCATCACAAGAAATTTTTGGTCGGAAAACCAAACTCATTTGCCTAAAAGAATGTTTTTATTCAATTAAACATCATTTGGTAAAGCAACAATTCGATTTAAATCCGAATATCGTAAAACGAAAATTCCTTTCCAGATGAAATGAACACGAAGCTTTTCCAACGATATGTAATACAACACACAAAGTAAATTGATTGATACTAACGTCGAGTTTCAAACATTCTTCTCTTATTCATTTAAACATGATGAGTTTCATGATCGTATTAGTGGAAAAGGAAGAAAATCACTGTAGATACCACAAGTGTCATGCGAAATTGCGAGATTGAAAAGGAAAAACATGACAACGAGAATAAATGTGAATCCATAAATTATGATCATTCGTTTAGTATAAATTAATGCGATTTTAGGGCTGAAACTAAAAGCTCTACACGCAAATTATTCATATTTTGACTTCCTTCCATTAATGCTGAGTGATTGTTGATAATTTCACATATGAAGCAGCTTTAATTTGATCATTTAACTAAAAAATTAATGAAATTTATATACTCGTGCTTGAGTGAAGCTTTTAGCTTGCATCTTTGAACGAGAAGAAAACAACAGCTTTTCACTGCATAAAATAAAACAAAAAAGTGCTGAAAGGCTTGTACATCGACACTTCATGTGTAGTGGAGTATTATAAGATTTCTATTGATTTTCTGCTCCTACATACCTTCCGATTTCATCATGAATAAAGCAGTTTTAAGAAATAATAAGCATCTGAAGGAGGCGACACAAATGAAATGTGAAAATGATAAAGATATAAGAAGAACATGACTACAGGGATGAGTGCTGCTAAATTCTGTTCAATAAGCTTTAAGCATTAAATTTATGGCGTTGATGAAAACGAAAAACGGTAGAATTTCTGTTCATGAAGCTTTTATGAGAAACGTAACAGCCACAGAGAAGCTTAAGCGAATCCTTTACTAAAGGATTTGTGCGGAAATTCTCCGTTCAACCGAAAAAGAAAAAGACTGAAGAAAAGTTTCTTAACGAACGGAAGATATCTTTAAGATGAACCAATAAATTCTTTTTCAATTCGCTCAACTTAATAATTTATGAATGATACTTTGACTTAACATTTTATCAACAGCAGAAGTGTTCAAAAATTTCCGCAATACTTATAAGTGACTTTACATAATGAAACGAGGAAGAAATTATTATTGAAGAAATTTATCTGATTGAACGATGAAAAGCTGAAGAAAAAGAAGAAACTTTTATAGATAATTCTGTTGAGGGAAAAGTTTCTAATTTAATCAATATTTATTATTTAATTGCTTTTTTTATATCATAATTGAACTGAATTTCCCAAACTCGCTTTGTTTGTCGATTGTTATGATTTTGGGTGAATACTCTCGTCTCAAATTAGATATTTTTATACGTTTAAGGTATTGCTTACATTAATGATATTTAATAAGATAAAGATGACCATCAACATAGATTTTTCCAAAATCCACTCAATAGCAATGAAAGAATATTTTACTTGTCTGCGTCAGAGATGAAAATGTCCTCAAGATGCTCATTTTCCGCCCTTTTTCCTATTAATAGCCTTTTACAAAAGCAATTATTAAGATTTACCTTGTTTTTCCTACTTAACACGAAGCTTTTATTCTGCTTTTATTATTATAACTTGAAGACGAAAAATGTAATTACGATTTATGAATTATATGCTTGGAAGGAACACGAGGGAGAAAACTCTTCCTGATCTGAACTTTTTCCTTTTCTGTTTCCTTCTTTCTCCTCTAACACAAATCAATCAACTCACACTCCTCTTTATTGTCTCATCTTTCATGAGATGATGTTTCATCAGAGATAAGGCGGGCGAAAGAAAATAAAGAAAATTTCCTACGTTCAACTTGAGTACGACACATTCACATTTTATTAATAAATAATCCATTAATGTGTTCTGACTATTGACGAGATCAACTTTTCACTTTTCCTTCACGCTTTGAAAGAAATCTTCTCAAATTTTCAGCCAAATTCTTTGTTCCTTGTTCATAGAGAAAAAGGCTGATTAAAACACCATTAAATGATGAAAAAGCGTCAACATTAACTGTTGGATTTATTTTCAAATTAAATGTTTTTGTTTCAAGGGAAATCTCTGGAAAAGCTTTGTCAGATGATGTGCGATGATTAATTTTTTTTGTTTTGTTTAATTATTATTTTATATTCTTGAAGTTTCCGTTTTGCTTCAGATCATAAATAATTTTCATCACCAACTAAACGATGGTTGAACTTAAACGAGTAAATAATTGATGATGATAAGAATTACTTGAATGTTGGGAATAATTTATAAAAGTTTTATTTACTGAATGAGATGAAAGTTTATGCTGATGCTTGTAGCTTAGAAAATTGATTTTTTTTTCAACCCTTCCGGAAAATGAAAATCGGCTGATTTTAGCAACATAAAACTTCTGTCTTCAACAATCCTTTTTTTCTATTTATACCCAAAAAAAAGGAGAAAAACTTCCGACAGCTACAAGGTTTTAGGAGGAGTGCGAGGTAAATAATTTATGATCACCACACAATAAAAAATGTTTTCAAGAAACAGAAATGGAAATTCGAAAGGAAAATGTGGCTGTCAAAGTATTCTCATTTCTATGTTTTTGAATAATTTTCAGGAGACTTTGTGGCTTTGTCATCATTATTTACTGGAAGTTTTTTTTCTCTTGTCTTGAATATCTCAAACTAAATAAAAAATCTATAAGAAGAAAGTTCAACAGCAGCTTGAAGAAAGGTCAGAAGTTTCCTTTGATGAACGCAATTAAACTTTCCTTTTAACGTTTCTCTCTTCATGCATGAAACTGCGTTGATTTCCTTGAATCGTCTTCATTTTACGATGTTGTTCTGTTTTCCGCCAAGGATGTTCTTACTTCCGTTTCATAAGAAGAATAAATCTTTCTCGTTATGTTGCGTTTTCTTTTCAACAACATAAAAAGAACATTGTCGACATTTTCCTTGTTGTTGAATGTCGATGAGCTACTAAGAAGGAATAAAAATATATTTAAAGAGGATTTAAACAGGAAGAACTGAAAAAAGAAGAAAATAAATAAATTTCTCAAAGATTCATCGTCGGTCAGAGGAATTTTACAGAGTTTGACAAAATAATTTTCCTTCTCACATTTTACGAAATCTTCCAAGAAGATTAAACTTAGAAACCTTTTTTCAACAGAAATAAATAATTCCAAATTTTAATGTCGTTTTCTTTTTTCTTAAATATCATTAAAGATTCCATTGAATTGCCATGGCCGCACAACTATCATTGCGGATCAGTTTGGAAGGTGGACGTGTTACAAAGACCATTCAATTTGATCCCAGTACAACAGTATTTGATGCTTGTCGCATCATCAGGGATAAATTTGCTGAAGCAGTTCAAGGACAAGGTAAGAGAATAAAGTTTTTAATCAATGAAATGAGATGTTAATTAAATTAAATAATGTTAGCCACCGAATATGGATTGTTCCTTTCGGATGAAGACAACCGACAAGGAGTTTGGTTGGAGCCAGGACGTAACCTCGGCTACTACTTGCTCCGAAATCTTGATGTACTTGAGTATCGTCGAAAGTTGAGAACGTTGCGTGTGAGAATGCTTGACGGTGCTTTAAAGACAATTCTCGTTGATGATTCCCAAGCAGTTAATCAATTGATGGTTGTTATTTGTACAAAAATCGGAATAACCAATCATGAAGAATACGGCTTGGTGCGTGAAGAGAATGAATCGCAAAATGAGAATCAACCGGATAATAAATCCAATTTTGGAACGTTGACATTACGTCGTAAACTCACTGGTGAACGAGATCGCGATACGAAAATGGAAAGCTTGAGAAAGAAGCTTCGAACGGATGATGAGATTAATTGGGTTGACATAAGCAAAACGCTTCGTGAGCAAGGAATTGACGAGAGTGAAACAGTTTTACTTCGTCGTAAATATTTCTACTCCGATCAAAACATCGATTCAACAGATCCCGTTCAACTTAACTTGCTTTATGTGCAAGCTCGCGATGCCATTCTTGACGGAACACATCCAGTGACACAAGACAAAGCTTGTGAATTTGCTGGCATTCAAGTGCACATTCAATTTGGTGACTTCAATGACAATAAACATAAACCGGGATTTTTGGATCTTAAAGAGTTCTTGCCAGGCTCTTACGCTCGTGTCAAGAACATCGAGAAGAAGATTTTCGCTGAACATCGTAAACACATCAGTGTCAGTGAACTTGACGCCAAAGTTCTCTACACAAAAACAGCACGCGAACTGCCAACATATGGCGTCACATTCTTCTTAGTAAAAGAGAAGATGCATGGCAAGAACAAGTTGGTGCCACGTCTTTTAGGTGTCACAAAAGATTCTGTTTTACGTTTGGATGAGAGAACTAAAGAAATTCTCAAAACATGGCCTTTGACAACTGTCAGACGTTGGGGTGCATCGCCAAACACTTTTACGCTTGATTTCGGTGACTATGCGGATCAATATTATTCAGTACAAACAACTGAAGCTGAACAAATTGTCCAACTTATCGCTGGTTACATTGATATCATTTTGAAGAAGAAGAAAAGCAAAGATCACTTTGGAATTGAAGGCGATGAAGGATCGACAATGGTGGAAGAAAGTGTTGCACCTTTCAAGTGAGTTTAAGCATAAATTTCTAAAGCTTTTGAATTATTTCTAACTTGAAACATCTTTTCAGAGCTTCAATCATCCAACAAGAAATCACGAAAGTTGGAAAAGTCAATGAAGAATCGGTTTATAAGCCCGTGTTGATTCGTGGCACTGATGGTGAGTTTTTCATTCATTCTCAAATATTATCATAATTTTTTATGATTTTTGTCACAATCATTAAGTTTTGCTTATATTTTCATTATGATTTTATGTTATTTTTGTAATTTCTTAAAAGGTTCCCGACCTTACACCACTGTCGATACCAACACACTTCAATATGGTGCCATTGTTGGGCAGGTTAATCTCGCCCATCAACCACCAATGGTGAGTTATTATTTTATTATTTTATCTTTTATGATTATCATGTCGTCACAACATTAATTACTTTCTGAAATGAACTTCTGAAGAGTGAAAATATTTTCATTTATCTTTTCCTTTTTCTTCTTATTTTTAACGCTGCTTAATAAATGAAAAATAAAAACAAAAAAGCTTTTCTTGGAAGAGTGAATGGCGTAGGTGGAAAATCATTAATTTTCACTCATTTTAATTACATTTAAATTATAAAAGAAATTAATCAAACAATTTTCTCCTTTTTATGGATTTAGTTGCAACAAACTCGTGTCAGTTCAATTTTAACCGAACCACAACGTGCCTTACTTGGATATATTTCAGCTGGTCAAGAAGCGATAAGCAAAGCTGAACGTGATTTGGAAACAAAAGCAGAATTGCCACCACTTGGAACCGATCCTGGTGCACTTGCATGGCGTGAAGAGACACTTGAAACATCGAAACAAGTCGTCACAAGTCATTTGTCTAACATGAATGCAGCAACAGCACAAGTTGTCTCTGCAACAAATGCTGACGACATTGATCATGATGCTGTTGGTGCTGCAGTCTCACAAATTGCACAATCAATTCCGGAAGTTACAAAGGAAGTTCGCTTGATTGCAGCTTTAATGGATGACGATCACAGTGGCGATAAATTGTTAGAAGCAACCAGGAAGTTGTGCAACGCTTTCAGTGATTTATTGAAAGCCGCTGAACCAGAAGCAAAAGATCCGCGCCAGAATCTTTTCAATGCTGCAAGTCGTGTGGGTGAAGCATCCGGACAAATTTTACAATCAATTGGCGAAGACAGCGAAGAAAGTCGTGAACTTCATGACATGTTATTGGCTTTGGCGAAAGCTGTTGCTAATACAACTGCTGCTTTGGTGCTTAAAGCTAAGTCAATCGCATCTGAATGTGACGATGAAGCGACAAGAACAAAAGGTAAAGAAACTAGGAAATTGTTAAAGAAAACTTTAATTAATTTCTTTAATTTTACTTTCAGTCATTGGTGCTGCTAGTCAAGCTGCTTTAGCAACGAGTCAACTTGTTGCATGTGCACGTGTTGTTGCACCAACCATTCAATCGCCAGCATGTCGTGAACAATTAGAAGCTGCAGCACGTGAAGTCGCTAAAGCTGTAACAAACTTGGTTGAAGTTTGTAATGATGCGTCAGATAATCAAGAATTGAAAGGAGATTTGATGGCAGCAGCGAGAGAAGTTTCAAGAACTTTGAATGATTTGTTGGAGCACATCAAGCTTTGTTCACAAGAGCGTGTGATTGTTAGAGAAGAAAATGCCATGGAAAGTGTTTTAGTTGCAACTGATATGCTTGTGTCATCAAGCGATCCACAAGAAATGATTCGACAGGCTAAAGCTCTCGGACAAGCCACAGCTGAACTTATAAAATCGATCAAAGGTGAAGCAGAACGTCATGAAGATTCAGAAATTCAACGACGATTGTTAGCAGCTGCTAAGCAACTTGCTGATGCAACTGCCAAGATGGTTGAAGCTGCTCGTCTTTGTGCAAGTTCACCACATGAATCCGCTCATCAAGATGCACTTCGCCATGCTGCTGAAGAATTGCGTGACATCACAACAACAACAGCAAACACGCCGGCTTTGAAACGAAAACTGATTCAACGTTTGGAACAATGCGCTAAACAAGCAGCATCATCAGCAACGCAATGCATCAGTGCAGCACAAAATGCAACATCTTACAGTGAAGACATTCAGACGAAGGAAATTTTAATTCAAGATTGTCAACAAGTTGCTGAACAAATTCCGAGATTAGTTTCAAGTGTTAAAAACACTTTGGCACATCCCGACGATCATTCAGCTCAATTAAGTTTGATTGAAGCGTCAGAACAGTTTGTTGAACCTGGCACACAAGTCGCATCATCAGCACGTAATCTTCAACCAAGTGTTCGTGACCATGCGGCTGCGTCACATCTCAACAAATCATCAATCACTTTGACACATTCAATTCATGAACTTCGATCAGCTGCTCAACGTGCACGCGATGCATGTGCTGGAAATGAACTTGAATCGGCTTTAGACGCGGTGAAAAACTTGAGAAATGTTCTTGCTGATACAAAGCGAGCTGCACGTGACGGTGCTTTGCGACCATTGCCAGGTGAAACTGAAGATGGATGCTTCAAACTTTTATCGTCAACAAGTAATGGCGTCGATGTTGCGATGGTTCAACTTCTCTCAGCAGCATCGCAAGGCAATGGAAATTATGCTGGCGTTGCTGGACGTGACACAGCATTGGCACTTGGTGAGTTCACAAAGTCAGTTCGGGGTGTTGCTGCAACAAGTAAGAACCATTCAGTCATTGATTGTGCTGATGAAGTCATCATTGAGTCAATCAAAATGATTGAAGAAGCACAAAAAACACTTCAAAATGTTGGCAATCAGGAATATTTGTACACATCAGCGAAACGTGTTAAGACAGCATTGGCAAGAACACAAGATTGTCTTCCAGGTCTTAAAGACATCAGCGAATCATACGAGACCATCATTGAGTTGAGACAAATTCTTGATGTTGGTGAATATCCGCCATCGAGTAAACCTTTCAATCATCTTCAAAATGATTTAAGATCAGCTGCCAACAATTTAAGTGCAGCTGGTGGACGCGTTGCGCAAGCTTATGCAAGTCCAATACAATTAGCAAATACAAGTCAAGATTTCTGTGGTGCTTACAAAGATTTACTGACAATTACTTTGGAGATGGCGGGACAAACAAAGGAAGAATATAATCGGACAGTCATTGTTGATTCACTTCGTGGTGTTACAAACACAAGTGTCAGTTTACTTGGAACAGCTAAGAACGTCGCAACTGATCAATCATATCCGAATGCAAAGAATGAACTCGCGTCAGCAGCTCGTTTAGTCACAGAAAGCATCAACAAATTGGTTGATGTTTGTACACAATCAGCGCCTGGTCAAAAGGAATGCGACAATGCCATTCGATCTATTGAAGCTTTACGTCCATTATTGGAATCACCCCATGAAGCACTCACCGATCAAGGATATTTCGATTGTCTTGAAACTGTTATGGGAAAGAGTCGAACACTTGGTGATGGAATGACTGGAATTGCAAATAATGCAAAACATTCGCAACATGTTGAATTTGGTCATGCTGTTAATTCAGTTTCGGAATCAATTCGTGGATTGATTGAATCAGCAGCGCAAGCTGCATATCTTGTTGGTGTTTCGAATCCATCGAGTGCTGCTGGTCGTCCAGGACTTGTTGATTCGTCAGCATTTGCACGAGCATCGCAAGCAATTAGACAAAGTTGTGATGTGTTGAAAGGACCATCAAGTACACAACAACAAGTGTTGTCAGCTGCAACAGTCATTGCTAAACACACATCAGCTTTATGTAATGCTTGTCGCAATGCCAGTGCCAACACACAAAATCCCGTCGCTAAACGTCATTTCGTTCAATCAGCGAAAGATGTTGCGAACTCAACAGCAGCGCTTGTCCGTGAAATCAAAGCATTGGATCAAGATTACAATCCAACAGCAAGAATGCGATGTTCGAAGGCAACTGAACCATTGCTTGATGCTGTTCAATCGCTTTGTCAATTTGCATCGTCGCCTGAATTTATTTCGATTCCAGCGAAGATTTCAGCTGAAGGCAGACGTGCACAAGAACCGATTTTATCAGCTGGTCGTGGAATTCTTGATGGCGCTGTTGAAATGGTGAAGACAGCAAAAACTTTAGCTGTGACACCAACAGATCCACCAATTTGGCAAGAACTTGCAATTCACAGTAAATCTGTTTCGGAATCGATCAAAAAACTCGCTTCAAGCATTCGTGAGAAAGCTCCTGGTCAACTTCAATGTGAGTCAGTGATTGAAACTCTCAATTCATGTTCACGTGAACTTAATTCAGCATCGATGGCGATTGGAATTGAAGGACTTCCACCAAAGAAGGAGAACAACTTGCAAGGTTTCACTGGTCAAGTGTTGAACTCTGCCAGTGAACTTGTTGACAAGCTTGAACCTGTCAAGTCGTCAGCTAAGAAGAATGCTGAAACATTGGGACATGCTGTGAATCAAATTGCAAGACAAATTGTTCCACTTACGACGGGAACCATTGGAGCTTCATCTCATGTTGTTCATTCGGGTCAACAAACAGTTCTCATTGATCAAGCAAAATCGATTGTTGAAAGTTCGATTCAATTGGTTCAGATTGCTAAGGAAGCTGGTGGAAATCCTCGTGCTGCACATCTTCACAGTGATTTAGATGAATGTGTTGAATCAACAAGAGAAGCAATTCTTGAATTAAATTCAACAGTTGAACGTTTATCAACAGAAAATGGCGTCGTCACTGGATTAATTGAACAAATTTCAAGATCAATGTCACGCATTACTGACAAGCGTCAATCATTTTTGGGAACATCATTGAATGAAACATTTGTCGATTATCAAACGCGAATGGTCCAATCAGCGAAAGAAATTGCACGTTATGCAAATGAAATCAATTCTAAAGCCGCTTTTGATCCTTCGAAACTAGCTCCATTAAGTGTTGAAATGACAAGACATTATACACAATTAGCTCAAGATTCAATTGGAGCATCTTCGTTGACAACTTCGCCAGATGTTTCGATTCGTATTAAGACAACTGTTCAAGATTTGGGACGATCGGTGACTCATTTGATTCAATCAACTGGTGGTGTAAGAAAAGATGATCCAAATAGTCTTCAAGAAACATCTAAAGGAGCTCGCGATGTGTCTGAAAAAGTGTCACAAGTTTTAGCAGCACTTCAAGCTGGTTCACGAGGGACACAAGCTTGTATTAATGCTGCAAGCACAGTCGCAGCTATTATCGGTGATTTGGACACGACAATTATGTTTGCTGCTGCTGGAACACTTCATTCTGACAATGATGGTCAATTTGGTGATCATCGTGAACATATTTTGAAGACCGCAAAGGCTCTCGTTGAAGATACAAAAGTTCTTGTCGCTGGTGCTGCTGGTACACAAGATCAACTTGCATCAGCTGCACAAAATGCTGTTTCAACGATTGGTGAGTTAATTTACAATATTTTTATTATTGAAGTCTTTTTAATATTTTTAATTTTTTTGTTAAATTAGTTCAACTTGCTGAAGCAGTGAAACGTGGTGCAGGTTCACTCGGATCTGGTCAACCTGATTCACAAGTTATGGTCATGAATGCTGTTAAAGATGTCGCTGCAGCTTTAGGCGATCTCATAAATAGCACAAAATTGGCATCTGGAAAGCCAATTCACGATCCAGCCATGAATGATTTGAAAGAAAGTGCCAAGGTAAGGGAAAATGTTACCAAATTAATTCTTTAATTTACTACATAATTAAACACACATATTTATTTAGTTTCCCCTCATTAAATCTTTTCGTTTTCATTTCCGACTGACGATTAACAAAATAATTACAAAACATCCCTAATTGATAAGCATGATATGCTTCAACCTTTTTAAAGATTTTTTATGTTGCTTTTTTTTGCCTTTGATTTTATGGATACGTTCATTTATAACGTCATTGCTTACGTGATTACGTAATCACGTCTTAAGGGAAATTTTTAAAATAAATTTCCCTTTTAAAGAACTTTAAAATTATTTTTAAATTTAACGTCTTTTCTTTTAAAAATAAAGAAAACCGTTAAATTTATGCTGATTATGAAGAAAGATTGACGTAATAAATGAATGCCTCCTTATGGGACATCTTAACAATCGAGCTTTTTTTTGAACAACTTTTTAACGCGAGAAAAAGAAAACTTTTGTTAATCTTCGGAACCCTTTTTGATGAAAAGCTGAAGAGCTAATTTTATTATTTTTTTTCCTCCTTATTTTCCTGACTTCTACATGAGTGAGTTTTCGATTAAAAGCCTTTTGTGTAATTTATAACAATTAAACAAGTCCTAAGAATTTAAGAGAAATCAGCAATTAAAATTGCTAATCTCAATACAAAACCTTAACAAGAAATTTAATTTTTTGTTTTTGAAAACTTGTCGAAAGCTTTTGTTGCTTATTTGAAATCGCTGATAGTAGGGAGAAAAAAGATGGCATTTAACAAACTTGAATGTTGAGAAAATATTTTGAGATTCGAACTGAAGAAAAGGAAAAAAATTTATATTTTGATTTTTGGAAAAAGAAAAGTTCGAGTCCCTTGGAGAAAAGCAAAAATGTTAATTAATGCACGATTATTTTATTCGATTTTTGTTGATTGGTGATGAAGAGTCTCGTAGTACTATCGCTTGATATGAAATCTTCTTCTTGGATACTTGATGGATAATTGTAAATAGAATTTTCCGTTTTCTTTCTTTTTATCATTTTTGTTTGACGTTCTTGATTTTTTATTCTTTATTTATCGCATTTCTTTTCACAGATCCTTTAAAAGTGCAACAGCATTTTAAATGATTAGATTTTCTTTCAAGTACCATGGATTCTTATAATTATTTGTTGTAGCTTTAGTTCATGATTGAGATTGAATTAATTGTTGTAATTTGTGGCTACTTATTTTGATGTTTTATGTTATGAAATAGTTGTGGATGATTAACGATGAACCACTTTATTCATGAGATTAATGTAGAGAAATCTTTTCTAAAAGTTTAATAGTTCAAAGACATTTCTCTACAAAGCATTTATCCATGTCAAAACAACATCAAAAGAACAGACGAAATAAATTTCTTTTTTATCTGTTGTCTCTAACTTTTTCTTTCCTGGAAACTGAAACAAAACAAATACCGAAACCAAAAAAAAAACTCATAAAACTTAAAGCAAAAGGTTGATGGTGACGACAGTAGCGTTGATTGGTGCCGATCAGATCGAGATGAAGACTTGATTGATAAGATGTCGAAGCCCATTGTTGATGCAATCTCGAAAATCGATGAGAATAATCGTGAAGAATAGTTAAAGAACATAAAAATATTTTAATAATTAAAACTACTGCATTTAAATATTACGTTTTTCATATCAAATTATTAGAGTTTTACGTTTTTTGTTTGTGTGATTAATTGGGAGTAGAATTTAAACTTAAATGCCATATTTGACTCTTCATTCGGCTGAAATAATTTCAAAAAAGCAAAGCAAACAAAAGTAAAATTGTGAAGCAACAAAAAATAAAAAATGAAACTTTTCTCGCTCAAAAACTCAACAATCCCGCAAATAATTTAAACGAACGTAAAAAAATGTTTCTTTAGGTAAATAAAGTTTCAAAATTTATCTTTTTTTTTGTGGAAAATGAATGAATGAAAGGAAAAATGGGACATAAAAATGTTTACTGCGCGTTAAGATTCTTTTTTCCTTTTTGACACCAAACTACTGACGTCAACACTTGCACAATATTTAACAGAATTCTTTCTTATTCTTCTTTTTTTTTATTCATCCTACAAAATACAGCACATTAACATTCATTTTTTATTTCATTTGTTTCTCTTGTTTTTGCTACGTCATCAACAATTTTTATGTTCCATTTTTGTTCTTTATCTTACGAATGCAATTTCTTGAACGAATTGTCAGCAAATTAAATTAATTTCATTTTTCTTTGTGTGCTGCAGGTCATGGTGATGAATGTGACATCATTGCTGAAGACAGTGAAAGCTGTTGAAGATGAACATACAAGAGGAACACGTGCCATGGAAGCAACGATTGAAGCAATTTCCCAGGAAATCAAATCCATGCAGTATTCAGACACCAACAGAAGTTCCGCAATGCCATCAACGCCTGAAGATTTGATTCGTGTAACGAAGAATGTGACAGTTGCAACCGCAAAAGCTGTCGCTGCTGGTGCAAGTAACTCACAAGCTGACATCACTGCCGCTGCTAATATCGGCCGTCGTACAATTTCTGAAATGTTGTCAGTTTGTAAATCTGTCGCATGGAATTGTGCAGAAACGCCTGACTTACGTCAAAGAACACTTGACGCTGGTGCAGCTGTTGGAATTTCCTATCGTGATCTCCTTGAAGGTGTCTTGCGTGGATGTTCAGCAGATGAAAGAATGCAGTTATCAAGACGTGTCGCTAAATGTGTCACTGACTTAGTCGGCATGGCACAACTTCTGAAAGGATCCGATTGGGTTGATCCTGAAGATCCAACGGTAATTGCTGAAAATGAGTTACTTGGCGCTGCTGCTTCCATTGATGCTGCTGCTAAAAAGTTGGCTAGTTTAAGACCCCGAAGACAACCCGATGTCAAGGTTTGTGTTTATTTCTTATTCTTATTAATAATCAGTGAAATTGTTGTCATGTTTATTGACAATTTTAACAAAAAATATTTATGCTGGTGAAAGATCTTAAAAAAAAGAAATTAGAAGTAGAACTAAAAGAAAAGTGATGAAATATTTATTAACATTTAAAGTTTAAGTTACGCATGATGGAATCAGAAACAACTTCGTTAAGATATGTTTGATATTCTTGGTTGTTGCATTGTTTATGTTGACCTCACATAATGTTGTGGTTACGCTTTGATTTTCACCCAGGAATCAAACATATTATTAATGCGGCTTGTTGTTAACTCATCTTACAATTAAGTTGGTGGAATGGTTAATTGGTTGGTGGTAACTTTATTGATAAATCGATTAATCAATTTAAATTTTCTCATTTTTCAATTTTTATTAAATCATTTTTTTATTTCTTTTTTCTTGGAACATTTAGCAAGCTGATGAAAACATGAATTTCGATGAGATGATTTTAGAAGCAGCTCGAGCAATCATGGCTGCATCATCAGCTCTTGTTCGTGCTGCAAACGCTGCTCAACGTGAGTTGATTGATCAAGGAAAAGTAGCGAAACGTCCTTTGATGTCATCAGATGATGGTCAATGGTCTGAAGGTCTCATTTCTGCTGCTCGTCTTGTAGCTGCTGCTACTCACAGTCTCGTTGAAGCTGCACAAAATCTCGTTCAAGGTGTTGGAACTGAGGAGATGTTGATATCGTCAGCTAAGCAAGTTGCAAGTTCAACAGCTCAATTATTAATCGCATGCAAAGTAAAATCAGATCCATGTTCGCAAACTGGTCGAAGACTACAAGAAGGTGGAAATGCTGTCATTAAATCAACTGACAATCTTGTCAGAGCTGCACAACAAGCAATTGAAGGTGAAGAAGAACATACACTTCGACTTAATCGAAATATGGTTGATGGAATGGCACAAGAAATTAATGCAAGATCAGAAGTTCTGAAGATGGAACGTCAACTTGAAGAAGCGAGAAATAAATTGACAGCAATCAGACATGCGAAATATCGTCAAAGAACAGCTGCTGGTTATGCAACAGACGACAGTGACTTTGAAGGTGGAAACACGAGTGGAGCTTCAGGATATGGAGCTGGGTTTGCTTCACCATCGCCAACTCACATGACTCGTTCAGGTAACGCCACTTCACCATCGCCAGGAAGCTTTCAAAATCAACAGTCAATGAACCAATCGACGACTAATTACGAACAACATAAACGATCAAACTTATTGACAGCCAATGCTGTTCCCAAACCTTACAACTCTTCCATTCTTTCATCGGGAACTCCATCACCTCAACCACCTACGCCAATGTCACCTTTACACAATCGATCATATGAAACAACTGTCATTACAAATCCAAATCTTAACACTCGATATGATAAATCAAAATTGGAGCAATGTGTACAAGATTTGCATGAGAAGACATTCGGAAAAGATTCGCCTGTAAATAGTTTCAGCACGTTCAAGACAACAACAACGACCAGTGGTGGTGCACCGCATGATGGTAAACAGAACTATGAAGGATACACAACAAGGTAATGAATGCTACTTAATGTTTATAATTGACAGTTTTAAATAAAACATTAATTCTAGATACGAAACAAGAACCTTCCAAACAAATGATGGACAACCAATTAGCAATCTAAACCAGGACTTTTCACGTCTAGCATTGACAAGTCCATCAAATGGATTAAATGGTCAAACATCAACACTTCATTCTTCCAGCTCTACACAGTCGTCGCATCAGAAAATCTTCCAAAAGATGGAAGTTAAAGAGACACGTAACATGACATCTTCAACAGATAACAGAAGTTATCGACTTCAGTAAACTTTCTTATTCTCTTTCGAAGAAACAATTACCTAATATTTAAAAATGTCACAAGATAAATACACAAAAGTGCCAGAAACAAAAGAAACATTATAAAAGAAATAATAACACGAATTTTGTGGCCTTCCTAAGCTGTTTTTCTGGCAAAATTTCTTAAATTAAAAATTCTTCGCAACTTAGCGTGTTTTGATTAGAACTCACATGATGTGCCTAATTTTATATTTTATGTATAGAAAGCGAGATATCGCTTTCATTTAACGAAAAATTAAAAACATTTTTGCCAACAATATTTGTGCCATTAAATAAAAAGAAATATTAACGAAAGATTTTACAGGATATTTTCGCACTTTTAAATTTTAATACATACTACAAGTATGCTCGAAACTTCCTTCGATTCTTCAATATTTACAATTAATTATTTTAGAAATCTTCTTCAAATTATAAACTTAATTTTTTCCGTCATCAATTCAAATGAATTTTAAGGTGTTGGAAAATTAAAGTCCTTAAAGAGGGGAAAAGAAAGAAGGGGAAGAAAATGAAAAGGGGTTGAAAACTTTTAACAAAGTTAACATCAAAACCTATTTAAATTGACGAGATCATTTCCCCTTCCTCTTCCCCATGGCCCAAGTAATTAACCAAAAGTATCGTGAAAGTTTTCAGTGTTTTTCTTCAATCATTTTTTTAAAATTAATTTGTAAATTGAAATAATAAATATTTTTGAACAGTTTGTCTTACTCTAATTAAAAAAAGGTCTACTTATTCTTCACAATTTTAATATTTTTTTAATAACAAGATTTATAAAAAAATAATAATTAAGAATGAAAACATTTTTAATTAGCTTATCTAATGTAGAAGACAGAAGCTTCATGCTTTCGTCAAGGTTTTTTTGTAAATTTATTTCGAGATGAATTAAAGAAACTTATGTCCAATAAATATTTCTTTATTAACAATTATAAAAATATTTGCGTTATTAAATTTATTTTCAGGAATTCATGAAAGATTTCTCGACATTTTTCGTTTAAACGTTTTCCAAAATTTCCAGTTATCACATTAACTTATTTTTGGATTCAATAAATCTTAAGAAAACTTAAGAAGCAAATAGCGATTTCAATTCACTAAACGAATTTTTTATTTCAAGCAAACGTTCCTTCAATAAATATTCCTTCAACAGATGGTTCAACTCGAGCGAAACTCTCAGCCGATATCTATTTTGCAATGACTAATCTTTATTATAGAAGCAAGTCGATGATTTTAGAATTTAGATATATCAAAAAGGCAGAGAGAGAAGGAAGACAAAACAAGATTGTGACAATTCGCGACATTCTCTCAAAATGAAATGTTTTAACATTTAAAAAAAATTCAACCAAGCATCAAATATGTTTATAAATCGCAACTTACGTTTCACACTGACAGAACAGATGTTTCTCACTTTTTGTTTGAGAGTTGAATGAGAGAAGAAGAAAAAAAATTAAGAAACCACGCAGCATGCCAATTAAATTACAAGCAAATTAATTTCCAAATGAATAATTCAATGTTCGATTAATAATAATTCAATAAATCCTGTCTCTCATTTGTCAAGAATAGATAAAAGAAAAAAGTAAACAGCAGAAAAAAAATATCTACAAACATCTCAATGTAAACTAAACACGACATGAGTCAGCATCATCTCCAGCTCTCAAAATGTTTCGTCTTGATCACATCGCTTCATCGACGTTTATTTTTAAAATTATTTATTTCAAAGAACGTTAAAGGAACACCACACAGTGAGATGTGATGATCACTTCAGTTCGTTTTTCGCTCTCGATCGCTGAACTTAAAAAATGAAAATCTTTGTGATTCTTGTTGCGTTTGCTGTCATTGAGAAATGTAATGGACAGATGAATCCACTTGCATATGGCAGAGATCAGTCGGTTAGTAGAGTGAAATTGAGATCGTTACATAATTTAATTAATTATTTAAATTGACATCACTCAGAGGAAAATAAATTTATAAGATCGGAAAATTTTTGTAAAGTTTTTTTAGCATAAACATAATTTTATTTAATAATTTATTTACCTCTTCTTGATTTCTATATTTATCACAACAGTATCGTGGAGGAAATCAAGAATCGGGAGATGTAACCACAAGTTTGAATCGTCTTTTCTCATCGTTTGAAACTCGCTTGACAAGCGTTTTAAGGAATGAATTAAGTGTTTTAAATCAAAGACTTGGAGGCTTAGAACAGTCGAATAAACATCTGGAAAATGCGATAAGTTCGATAAAAAGTGAACTCAACATTGTTAGAGAAGCTGTTGATATGCTTCGAGGTGATTAAGAATTTTATAACACAAAAGAATTTTATTGTTAATGACACGCGTTTGTTGTGATAAAACTCCGATGTCATATCATTTAGAAATTTAATTGAAAGCGCTATTTAATTAATAACGACGATAAATTTATTTCCTGCAGATGACAGCAATTTGGAGAATGATCAACAGTTGAGAACAAGCGAGAGTGGATCAGTTCTAAGCTTAGATAGTTTGCATTTGACGGTGAATGCTATGAGAGCAAGTTTAAGTAAAGTTGAAAGAGATGTGATGAATGTTAAGAAAAATTTGAGAATTTTAACTGGAGGCAGACATCAAAATCATCAACAGCAACCTCAATTTGCTATTTTGCCATCCGTTTATGGAAAGTCGGCAAATAATGTCGGCGCATGTTCCATAAATGATTTCAATAATGAATCGGGAATAAGAAAATATCAGAAAGATTTCTTCACTTATTGTGAAATCGAAGCAGATGATTCCATTGGTTGGGTTGTGATTCAAAATCGTTTTGATGGCTCAACTGAATTTGCTCGAGGTTGGAACGAATATAAGAATGGATTTGGAAATCTTGCTGGTGAATTTTGGTTGGGATTGGATAAAATTCATGAACTAACATCAGCAAATCTCCATGAATTGATGATCGTCTTGGAAAGTTTCAATGATGGAAAGAAATCTGCAAAATATTCTGCTTTTGGAATTGGACCCGAATCAACTGGATATGTTTTAAATATTTTGGGAAAATATTCTGGAAATGCTGGCGATTCATTGAACTATCATGCTGGAATGAAATTTTCAACTTTCGAGTAACATTTTAATGCTATTTTTAAATTAATCTATTTTTTAATAAATTTTCATTCACAGCAATGACAACGACGCATGGTTAGATGGAAATTGTGCCAGATCGCATTTGGGTGGTTGGTGGTACAATTCATGCGACGAATCAAACCTTAATGGAAAATATTTCGGTGATGTTATATTGAAAGGTGAAAACAATTATCAAGGCGTCTATTGGAGTAAATTTCTTGGATCAATGAGTTCACTGAAGTCAGTTAAGATGATGATTCGACCTGTCGAAGGATGAATAACTCATAAATTGTTTATAAATTCCCATCTTCTTATTTTCCCATCTAATAATAATAAATATTAAACTTGTTTAAACAAAAAATGTTTCACTTCTTTTATATTTATTTGCATTTCAGCGCGTGTGCTTTTCATAAAACGAAACGATTGAAAAACTTTCTTTGAAAATTCAAATCTTAAACATTCGTTTCGAAACTCTTTTTGTATCTAATCGATTGATCGTCTTCAAGCTTAAATATCGTAAACCAACACAACTTTAAGATGTTCTTTCTCCTTCTTTTGCCGATCATTCATGATGCATTGAAATACAAAGACATTTCAAAGAACAAAAGAACCAGAAGCGAGAAGCATGTACGACGAAAGAAATGCAAAAAACGAAGTAACAACAACACATTCTGAAGAATCTCATGGAAAACTTTCTAAGACAATGTTGGTGTTGAGACTGAAGAATTCCATGATCTACGTTGGGCTACTCGAAACAGTCTTCCATAGTCGATCGTTGGATTATGTTGTGCTTTTAGCAATCAAATCGAAAGAATCAGAAGTTAAATTGTAATATAAAGAAAAAATTCAATATTCGCGATGATGTGTTAGAAGCTTACGAGATTATGCAAAATTAAACTGTTAGTGAAGACGAAAGATAAAAAAGCACATAAATTTCAGTCAATCAGTTCATTTAAATTAATTAGAAAGATAATAGTAACAAAGCTTCACATAAAAAAAAGATGGATTTTAATTTAACAAATGTAAGTGGCGTAAAACAAGTCGAGAACGAAGAGGGAAAAGAAAAATCAAGTTCAAGTTCCAACGAATATGAGTAAAATGAGTTCAACATGTTTCACAAACCTGGGAATTAACGGTTCGACGGGAAACGAAGAAAAAAAAAGTTCATTGGATCTGACTCAGGGTTTTCATGTGGCGATTTCCAAAAAATAATTTAATTAGACATTTTTTTCGAAATTTAATTTTCTGGGAACAGGAAAAAAAACGTCCAATGACAAGGACAAGTTTCTTTAATAAAATTTTAATTAAACATCGTGACAAGTGCCAGGAACTAAAATGAAAAATAACAACAAAAGTGAATCGCGATAACACAAAATAAAATATGAAACAAAATTGATTTCGATGTTGCGTTCAGAATGCATAATTGACCATCAATTATTGGCACATTTATCGGCTTCACTTATTCATTCTTCCTCTCTCTCTCACTGACTCACTCACTCTCTAACATATTCAATCATTTAACAAAAAAGCAACAATGTCGAAGTCAATGGCAACAACAACAGACCTTTTTTTATTATTATTTCTTACCTACTTTCGGTGCCCATTCTTCGTGACTATTTACAGCGCACCTCAACAACGCGTGTCCTAATTTCTCTTCTCATCCGTAAAGAAATTCTTAGTTTCATTTTTCATAAAGTTAATTTGAAAGTAAACTTTTCCTCACGTTTCTATCATCATCTTAATGCAGTTCTAAGGTGAACGTGAAGGTTTAACTAAAGTCAATTTTTTATTTTTAGTGGAACGTATGATTGCTTTGAATTGTCGATGATTATAGAAATATTTACATGATTGTTGTTATTGTTAGGGTCATCGGCTGTCTGAAATTTATGAGAAAAGTAAAACTTCTTTTAGAAATCAAATCAGGGTCAGCAATCGAAGAATTTCATTAAGAATGCTTCCATTTGTAGTCACTTCACGTAAACATTTATTTACATACTCTGGAAATAAAAACGATCGCATTGTTCTGACTTAGAATCACGTCTGTTCATTTACCTCCAGAAAACAAATGTGAACAATGGTAAAATGAACGTTGAAAATGAAAATTCATGAGATTCAGACGAACTCGGCAGCAACGATGATGAGTCAGAAGTTGATGAAGAATCAGAGATCTCTGTACTAGTTTTGTTGCTATGCTATGTCACACAATTAGAGTTGTGAGAAGAACAAAAGATCAGCTACTTGACTTTGTTCTATTTACACTTCTATCTAATTAATAATTTTATGGAATTCTCTTGTCTCATCTCTTACCCGTACGAGACACAATTCATTTTACGGCTTCTGCTTCCACTTTTTTTCTCTTTGAAGTTCTTTTCATTTCACATCACATAAATTAACCACAATTTGCAACAACAAACGATGATTATTTCTTATATGAGTTATAACGTTTAAAGTTGCCCGTTATATCGTCCAAAACTTTATTTAGACTTTAATCGTTTGCTTGTTAATTTTTCTTCATTAAGTCCCCTTAATAACAATCATCACTACATGAGTGAAACTTCCTCAACCGCTTTCTAATATGTCACTGACTATTTTCCAGCTCATAGCAACGTTAGGTGTTCTTCTTAGCGTCTTCATATCATCGACTCACTCACTCTGGCCGAATTTTGCAGAAAAATGTAGCGGTGGTGGGTCAAAGCTGAAGTATTTGTCGGGTAGGAATTTCATTTATTTCTCTCTAAATTCAAAGCAATAAATTTTTATTAAATTAATCCGATAGGTGATGCACTTATTGACACACCAGGATGTATCGGACCAAACAATCTTCCATATCCAAGTGGAACAATAAGTCGAGCTTTTAATGGAGGTTCATCACGAAAAGGCCGACATAGTCAACTTCCGACGACACTTGATCCATTGTTGACACAATCGACATTACTGAATGCATATAGAGAAGTCAATGGTGAAGCATCTGTCACACGACAAGGTGAGATAATGTCCAAAATATTCTTTTAAACTCTCAAGTTGAATCACACACTCGGGAATCTTAAATCCCGTTAGAAATTGCGCGCAGAAAATCACTTTCAACCGGCCACCGCTTGTCGTGAGATTTTTTTTCTTTCTTTTCTCGTAAAAAATAAAATGAAGTTGAAAAAAAAACAGAATCATCATCATCATCACCCGAAGAACAGTTATCGTTTACGTATTTATCGACTTCACATATGTGAAGTTTTGCTTTTCTCTCATTTCAATAATTTTTGTTTAATCGCGGAGACAAAAATGAGAAAGAATGAAGCAAAAGACCAAAATGTTGAATTTATTTGGGTCAATGGTAATGCCGAAAATGATATGAAAGAAATATTCAATTGTTAGAAGTTCAATTAATTCTAAATTCGGTTATAATTCCCGCAACGACCACAAAATAAATTAACATGATTCTGCTTTCGTTTCTTTTTTTAAAGTGCTTAAAAATTCTTCTTCACTTTTACGATGTTTAATGTGAATGTGTGACTAAAGTGCTTTAAGCCCTTTAACAAATGAATGAGAAAAAGGCGAGAAGCAATTGTTGTTAACACACATTAATCCTTCAAAATTGATTCGATATCGAGACTTAACTCATTGATCCACTCTTCCGTTTACAAACAGAATCTGTTTCATGCATCATTTCACATGACAATCTAACTCTGACTCACTTATTTATTTAATGGCTTGCCGAGTAAAAGCAAGAGCAAGCAAAGCAATTTTCTAGAGCATTTTAACCCACAATTGATCATAAATTGTAGATATTTAGATATTTATGTTTTTCTTTTCACTTATCTAGATATTTCCTTTCTCTCTTTCGTACGCAAATATTTTCATTATTTCGAAAAGAGTTTAAACTAATTTTGGTCGTCACTTAATCGTTGCTTTTCAGGTCGATCGTTAAATTCACAAAATCAATGCGGCGGCACACCGGCAAGATTGTGCAAAACCAGGTGAGGTTTGAAGAATGAAATTAAAAGGAAAAACGTGACAAATTTTATTAACTTTTTTTCTTCTTCCTTCTTGTTTAGATACAACACGACAGCACCAATGTATGGAGTGAGTTTGACATCAGGTCATCCAGTGACAATTGTTCAGAAATTCCCCGATCTTCTTCAACAAGTTGTCTTTGAAGTTTGCGAGTAAGCTTCCCATAAATAAATTTAATATAAAAAATGATTAAAATTATTTCTTTGTTAGATCATCCGAATGTGACGTCGTTCGTGGTGATTGTGTTCAAACTTATGTGAGAATCATTAATCATAAGAATTTTTTTACTTATTACAAAATTTAATCGGAATCATGATTGCAGGTACCGTATTTGTTCCTCGTTATTCCACTTGGACCAGTAACTTTGACTGGACAAGATTACATTCTTGTTGAAAGCGGATGTGTTTGCAAGCCGAAATATGCGAGTGGTCTTGCTTCTAATAACGTCAATGAAGTTCTGCCTTGATGATGCAATCTTAAGCATCATCCAGTGATTCTTTCAAAGGACTTGAACCTGACTTACATGCATTCATATAAATTTGGGCTCAAACCCTAAGGGAGATTATATTTCGTTGAAGTTGGTGACGATTCTTCTTAAGTTTCTAGACATAATTATAAAAATATTTAATTCCTAAATGATAATGAAATTATTTATAAAAAAATTAAAGTTGTACATAAATATCGTGTATCATACCTCGACGGCTATAAAAACAAATTAAACATGAAATTCTTGAAAAGTAAATTTTTATTGGAACTTAAGGAATTTCAAGGTTTCTTTATTAATCTTTTAATGACATTATTCATTAATTCGATGTTTTTTTAAACGAATTTGATAAAGTTCATTGACTTCTTCGTAAACCTTTAGGCTAAAGAGACGAAAGTTAAGCCATCGGACGGAGCAGAAGCTTCTGTTGGTCTTTCTTTTTCCAGCTTTTTTTTCAAGGCGGCAATGAAGTAAATGATCAAAATATAAATTAGTAGTGGGAGTAACAATAAAGCAGATAATCGTTTTTCATGATCAAATATCAAAAAAAATTGAAATAATAATAACAAGCAAAATTGACTCCCCGTTATCTTTAGAAACTTTTCAACTTTCTTTGGATTGCGCTAAAATACAAAATCAAACAAGAAAAAATTAAAACGAAAAATAAGTGAAACAAAAGAATTTTTACATCGTGAATTCCAAGAATTAATTGTCGTGATATGTAAGCAATGGCCAAACTGTATATAAAAGCAGTCAGGAATATGCAGAACCGACCAAACTTATTATATCCATGATCTAAAGTAAAAGTATTGATAATTTCAAGATTTCAAAACTTTTTTTGATTCAACTCACTGCTTAATAAAGCGTCCAATAGCAACTCTTTTAAGAATAAAGCAGAGATAACTGCGGCGACACTTGAAATTGAACAGAAAAACCATCCACACAATTCTCCAAATCTTTCCAAAGTGAAGCAACTTTCCTTCTCCATTTTTTTTAGTTTTTGTTTGAACACTAAAGTTAAGTTAAATTGATGAATTTTTGACGGCTTAAATTTTTTATAAAGAAGGCTACACGTTTACCTTTCTTCACATCAAATGACACACTAAAACTTTGATGAGTTTGTAACTGATAGCAGCTAAGGACCTTTCACACACTCACAAAATTCAAAAATTAGGTTCGTTTTCAAATTAACGAACTTTCAAATTGGCACAACGCAAATTTTTTGATCAATTGACAATTAAATATAAAGAAGAAAAATTAAATTGAGACAAAATTTCCATTCCAATGGTAAATTAAGAAAAATTCCAATAACATGTCATGAAATGAGGAAAACTTGTTCTACTCGTTGATCAAATGTTGTCAGAAGCTGCTTTAAAATTCTACAACATTCAAAATGATTCCTGTATGTAACTTTATCATTTATTTCCAATTCAAACAAACTGTTATTAGTTTAATTAATGCTAACATCATCTTCAACTAGATTTAGTTCAATAATTTCTCTTTTGTTGCTTGAAGTTTATCCAATCATTTTCAATCACTTCATTAAATGAAAGACCAAAAGATCAGCAAATAAAACAATCCTGAAATCATGAACGAAAATCAACTCGATGATTAACATTGACAGAAAATATATGCAAAGCTCACGAAGTTTGATGTGTCCATAAATGTTTTCATGATTTCCAGATGACATGCTGAAAGCTTCAAGCTTTATCAAGAAATTTTCCATGCATTGTTTATCTGCATAAAATTAAATTAAATGTGCATACGTAAAATGTTTATCACTGATACTCACCATAATAAATAAACTGCTTCTTCTTAATGTACTCTGTGCCATTTATTTTCAAAACACATTCAATTGTCGATGGTGATGGAATTATTTGATTGTTGGTTGTAAATAACGTCGTAATCGATTTATTGTAAAATCCTTTTTCATCAGATTCGCTTTTCATTTCAGATTTCATTTCCACATCGTTGAGTCTGTTGAAATAGATTTTTATATTCTTGCCAATGATCGATTTATTTCTTTTTAAAATATCTTACGAAATAGAAAGCTGAGGCTCAGGAAAAACTTGATTTACAGCGCAGATTACAAAGAGAAATTCTGCAAGCTTTTCCTCAATTTTCATATTTTCATGACGAAGTTCGAAACTTTTTTCGGGAGCTTTGAAATGAAAAATTTTCATAAAATTTAGATTAAGCAAATATAATTTTGAATAACGTACCAATGACTTTCATTGTTTTGATTTTTCTATCTCCTGAATGGTAAGTTTGAACAGAGCACATCCATTCGCCAGTGAGATTATAATGTGGTTGAATTTTAATAGCTTTGTGTTTATGTTTCACATATTCGGATTCATCGTTCTCAGCATAAGTTAAAGTGAATGATGTGTTGATTTTATATTTTATAGAATTCTATAAAATAATTAATTTTTCTTTAATTTCCTCATACACTCAAATTCTAATGAAATCAACTTACAAATACAAAAGGTTTCTTCGGTGGAATCCATTGGTAAATTAATGACTTGTTATGATACCATTTCAACACGAATCCAAGATCGTTTTGTTCAAATTCATAATCACAATCGAGTATTAAAGGACGTGAAAAGTTTTCGTCTAGAACGTAACTTGCTGGAACTTTTATATTCGTTATGAATACGGCTGATGTTGATACTAAACCAATGATAAAAAAAACTTCATTCAACACATGATAAAGACGATAATTACAAAGATGAATTATTAATGAGAAAAAACAATTTCACGGTTTTTGATATTTAATGTTTAAAATTGAAGAAATATTTAGAACCAAAATTTTCCTTTTCAATAATTTCAAATTAAACATCACTTTAAAACGTTTTAAGGAAAACTCACAAATAGAAAGAAAAGCGAGAAAAACATTTTCTCTTGGCATTTTCATTTCTACCGAACAACACAGCACGGCAATTTCCTGTAAACTAAAAATAAGCGAAGAAGAAAAATGCAATTTCCATCACACTCTGCCGTCAATATTAATCTTTTTGATGATTTGAGCATGTCAGAAATCTCATTTGGAGATTAATAAAAATTCTCACGTAGATGCCTCGACCCGACTTGTGACTTCTGGAATTGGAAAAGGTGATTGCAATAATCTCTGAATTTCATGTTGTTAAATGATGTTGGATTATAAATTTACATATATTTCTCATCACACTAAATAAGAGAAGAAAAAGACTTTTAAATTAATTTATTAAATAACTTTTTATTTACCAACTTCTGTTAATCATTTCGTGTGCCAAAGTTTTTTTTTCCTTTTTATAATTCGTTCTAATTAAGAACAATTAGATACTTTCTATAAAATGCTTATAAGTTTTCTTTTTCTAAGGAAATTAAACTTAAAAAAAGCTGGAGGGAAAATGATTCGTTTCTAGATGACATAAAGAAGTTAATCTAAGATCAAACGAGTTTCTAAATTAAATTCGATATAATTACATTCCTACGGGTTTACATTGACAAGGATAAAGTTAATTTCTCAATTGTATTATGGCTGGAATAATAAAACGATAAATTTATTCATTCTATATAGAAAATAATAAT